CGAGTGGCATGTCCTGTCCAAGCCTACTGGTTTTATTTAAGAGTGTAATTTGTTTTTTAATGTAGGGTTTCACTACCAATATTACGATTCGAAATTAGTTGATTTTTAGATTAGATCATATAGATATAATGCCAATTTTCAGCGATACCCTCCACCACCCCACAGCCAATCAAATCAAAATGTCACGTGGGCGAATATGCCAATTGATTTTGAGTGATGAAAAGTTTGAATGATGTGTTTAACCTGTTTCTGTTATCTAATCCATGTGTTCCTCTTTCTAAATTTCAAATGTAAATGAAGCATGTGTCTCTCCGTGCTTCTTTACGCAAGGAGGCACTTGGGGTCAAATTCACATCTTGACTAAGTGGCCGAACCCGTCTCCTCGGTGTTTTACCTCAGCTGTGGCAATGTAATGATACTGCCTGAGTGCGATTGTGCTGCTTGCGGGTGTGCTGCGTGTATGCTGTGTGTGTGCGCTGCTCGCGATTATGAGCATGTCCTACTTTGGTGCCCCGCATGCCCGAATGTCATCGCTTGTTTCACGAGCTGTGCAACAAGCTTAAGCCCAACTTAGGTGTAAAATCCCAGGTTAATCCGGACAAACTATTCGCAAGGGAGCCGATGAGATTATTGGACCCCCAAATAAGTCTTTCTTTTCTCTGTCTTTCTTCCTGGCAGTAACATCTTTCTGTGAAGCAAGAAAGCTACACTACAGTCACCAACTCGGTGTGGGGACATAGACTGGGGCAGTTGCACTGATTTCAGCCATCTTTTGGAAGACACTTAAAACATTGGAGTAATCATTAGCTTTATCTGAAAGTATATTTTTAAGTTGGGTGTAGTACACAAAACCGATTAGGAACTGTGAATCAGAAATAACTTGTCCACTGCCCTTGATGAGGGAGAGCGACGCTCATATCATACCACTGCGTTATCGTACTTAGACAAAACTTACTTTTTCATCCACGTTGGGATGGTGGCGACGATCACTCAGTTTCGTGTATGTGCATCAGACCATTCACCTGCTACACATGTAGTGAGTCCAACTGAGTCGCAGACATTGTCTTGGGAGCAACACTTTATTTCACCAACTCAACATGACATAACACAACCTACACTTGGGTGTTGAATGCTCATCTAGCCACGCTACGGCAGAACTAGACACGGTTCGCTATCCCGGCCCGGACCACAAGCTGGGTCCCGGACCGCGTGGCTAGAGGCTTTTTTTTACCCAACGTAGATCTTCTTCACCAGCAACATGAAGAACCCCGAGCCCCTCACGGGGCCCCCGTTATATCGGCCTGGGCTGGGGCTGGCTCCGCCCCTCGCCCTGCCCACCTTCTAGATCTCTTGCGCTCTTTCCCGAAGGCTCCCGAGAGCTCTTTTACACCACGTGACCGCTCAGCGGCCCCCGTCCACCGGTGGCCCCCCTCCAATATCCGGTCACGTGTCGGCAGGTCAACCAGCGTATCGTGCCCCAACGTAACCCTGACTGTCTGACACTTCCTCTCGCGCCCTCACCGGGAGCCCGCATCACACACCGTACGTGGTGCCTCCGCGCTGACCAGCGCGCACCCAAGCCCCACTCGGGCTGGTACTACGCCCAGTAAGCAGGCTACACGTAATGCCAACACATTATCCATCATGGCTTCGTAAGCCCGGCACCACACAGTGACATTCACAGTCACTACACATAAATAAGTTGTGTTTTATGAAATTATGCTTAATCATCTTCATTTGTGTAATAATAGGAAAACAATGATTGTCTTAACACACAAGTTTTCTCAGCCGGTTTTACGAGTCAACATTGGATAATGGGTTAGGCCATGTCAGGATCTGACATCGTATCCAATTGCTGATATATTTTGTTGAGAATTGTTCTTTGACTTACCCGTGAAATGACGCAATATATACACGAGAACATTCACTTTGTTTGGCTCTGTCGGGTGGTGGAGGGTCTTAACGGCACAAATGGGGTCGGATCATTACTTGGCCTAACCCACAATCCAATTATGAATGCATAAAAAACGGGGATGTCATTAATTAAGTTAGAATTGACTCACTGGGTCTGTGGACTTAGAGGAGCGTCTCTTGAACTCTGTTATGAACTCCAGAAGGAAGTGCTGCATGAAACCGTGATGGGCCTAGGAAGGGCTTTGGCTCTCAGTTTGAGGTGGAAACACAGAAGTCGGTGCCGAATACGAATGTGACTTGCAGGTTTTCGCAGCCGCCTGGAATAATAAGAGGAGAAATGCTCAACATGCAGCCCCACCAGGAAAACGACAGGAGGAAATATTCTCGGGCTTACACCAGCAAGCAACCCTGGGTCCCGGAGAACAGTTTCCTTGTCTTCCAGGCACTTGTACGACCTTGCGCAGGACGTTTAACATTGTTTAAGCCGGGACGGTCAGTCCATTCACTCAATTAATAGACTACAAATTACAATCAATTACTTAATTTGTGGTCGATTGCTCATTGCCCCTCTTTAAAAACTTTGGCCGCTCGCACATTTTGCAGTCTCCCGAAGGCAGGAAACCCCCAATAAAGCATTTACCAAGCCCCTTCTATCACCTCCCATTCAGCGGCACACTTGGAGAGAGGAGTGGATTTTTTCCCCCCACAACTATTTTCGTGCAATCCAATTAGTCTAGCAATCGGACCGGTAATTGGCGGAGTTATCGATCAGTTGGATAATTAGAGAGCCCAGCTTTGCAGTCCACCATGAACCTGCTGTAATCTGTGGCATACATTCCACCTGCCGGCGTTGCTAGGAAAAGGTTTGCGGGTCTCACACCCTGCCCCGCACCCTGGTTGCTCTGTGCTGGGCTTTTATTGCTTACGCGGTGCGAGTGTGTGGCTCGTGTACAGTGGATGATGATGACTCGACACCTCGGCAGCGGAACTTGTGGTTCTGTCGCCTTAGGCCACCAACCACCATTACCGCGTGGGCAGGCTTGCGCCATTGATGACCACAAGGAAGTGGCACTGCTCTCGATAAATCATCTTCAGAATGTTGCCATGGCACCTTGAGGCATTGTGAAAGGCGCCTAATAAGTACAAATTATTTTAGTTATTATTGTCATGATCAGCCTCAATGGTGCAGATTGGGGGTGCCTGTGCTAGGCAAATAATTACCTAAATTTGGTTGGCACCCACCCAAGATTAATTCAAGCAAGTTCCCGCTGAGGCTTTGCTTATATAAATGCATGTGTGCGTGTACAGCAGTTTTTCCCATTCCGCTGCTGGATGAGTGCCTTTCCACGGCACATTAGTCATGGGGTTTGTTTGACCATACTTCACCATGCGGGCTAGTACAGGTTGGTGATGGTTATGGGAGTGGGAGCAGCGACAGGCCTAGATATTCACCACTGTTGGAGGCCGCGGCCGGGTATCAAGCTCTGGTTGCTGATTTTATTGTGCAGCGCGCTGATAAATGCACCACCGCTCCTCCCCAATTGATGAACTTTTGAGCATTTAATATTCAGCTCTTTGATGATTATTGAAGACCTCACCATGTCTAGCCAATCACAGCGCTTCTATAATGTGCAAATAAACTATTTAACAACCGTTTTTAAAGTCGTGCCTTCAATTTTATTTGCTTAACTCGATTCATACTGCACTCCCCGTTAAACACAGTAATACTGACAATGGGCATTTGTCTTTCAGACAATACAATTGCACTGTTTGGAAATTTAAAATTTTGCATCATATTGACCAGCTCATGAGGTTTGGCTGCCGCGATGAACTACCACCACCACCTTTCCCATACCAGGCCAGTTAACTATGAACACATGGATGGTTCATAGTTAACCGGCATTACTCACAAACACGGTGAGTTGGTAATTTAAAACAGGCAGCCAAAGTAACGTCTCGGCCTCGTTTGATTTTGTTTATAATCACTCACGGCTGTGTGCGATGGAGAGGGTGGTAGGTCACCTTATGCTGACGCTTCACACAGTGCTGCACTGCCTACAATACACGCAGACACACATTGTAACTGTTACTGGAGTCTCCGGATTATCAGACGCACCTTCCCCCTTGTGATTTAAAGCAAGACTATATTAGGGGATCTTTGTCTTTGTGCTATTATGACCTCAGCATGGTGGGTGAATGCAGTGTGGGCGAGACGAGACAGAATATGAGCTGGTGGGAGCCCCATGGGGATGAGTAATAATAATGCAATTTATAACGCGCGCAAATTTGCGGACGTAACGGCTGCAACTCAGAGGCGCGGAGCAAAGCTCAGAGTTGCACCAAAGCATGGTTATAGAGGTGAGTTTTTAAGTGTCTCTTGAAGGAGGCGATTGAGGTGATGCTGCGAATGTGCAGAGGGATTGCATTCCAGACTGTTGGGGCTGCCACTGAGAAGCGGCGCATAAACGTGACCATCCTGTATCTTGGTATCAAGAGGAGGTCGTGAGTCGCACTGCGCAGGCATCTGCCGTGTGCTGAGCTGCAAGTTGTCAGTAATGAAGAAAGGTACGGCGGGCAGGCGGTGGTGAAGGCATGGTTGCAGAGGCAGGCGATCTTGTATATGACCCTGCTGGCGATGGGTAGACAGTTGAGGGCACGGAGACAGGCAAGTGAGTCGAGACGGGGATGAGTGCGACCAATAACGATGTGTGCTAGGTTGTTTATTAGTCTTTGAAGTTTTTTTAGGTTGCAAGTGGAGGTCCGGACTAGGACGGAGTTGCAATAGTCAAGGCGAGACCCAACTATGCAACATGCCAATGTGTTGGCAATTTCAGTGGAGATAACGACATCCTGCAGCAATGCCACGGCCATGGTATGGCTTCCAGATACCGGGTAGTGGTGGTGGCCACGTACGTGGGCTGTGTGGATAGCGCATACATTTTTGCGAAACTTCTCTACCGTGGGTGTCCGGGGTGCGATTCGCTAGCACGCTAGCAGACGGCAGTACAGCAAAAATGTGCAATCCACCTGTACCATTTGTATGACCCGCTGCATGTGACCCCTGTGCGTGACCCCGCCTGGCCCAGGGTCTGGAGCAGACGCAGGTGACGGACACGCGGACGGTGCGCGTGTCGAATCACGCGCCGCCCCACGTCGATCACTACGTGCCTCAGTGGTTTCCCGACAACCGCATAATCTCCTCCAAGGTGCGTGCCCTCCGTGTCGTCGTCTATAACCGCGTCTGCTGGCACGACCACGCCACCAGCACCATTGTCACACGGTCGTCTGGTACCAAGCACTGGTGCCGTCAAGCAGGCGTGCGGAGCCACCACCCCCCTCCGAGCTTCTCCCGGTCCGCGTCTTCACTTCACACGGCCGTGACTTCATTTCATGCGGTCCTTGACTTGGATATTTAAATTCTATTTTACTTCCAACAGTCATGAGAAATGTACGTCGCGGCTAGGTGCAGATCAATTGGGCGGGACGTGCTGTGCTCGATGTGTCTTTATTGGAGAATCCGCAACAGATTTGTGGACCATTTACCACAGCCTCACTCGGCCAACTCCTAGATCTGCCCTGACAAACTCCCTCCATCTGCCTTTCGGTCTTTACGCTTGGTTGCAGGATTTGTAGAGACCACTTCAATGCCAATATTATTTCAGATTTATACAAATAGGGCAATGTGTATTTGGTGAGCTGTGGAAAGCGTAGAGTTCATTTCAGAGTTTTTTTTGTTAACAGCGGTGGGAGGGCAAACAGGGCAGAGATGGGGAGGAGATGGAATTGTAGTGGGCGCAGGGCGGGCACTCAGTGGGTAACACCTGTGCCTCACAGCACGGAGGCCCGGAGTTTTATTCCTTATGCGGGTGGCTTTTTGTGTTTGGAGTTTGTTGTCCCCTGTTCTGCATGGGTTTCCTACGGGTTCTCCAGTTTCACCAATAGTTAAATAACAATCATATAATGTAATTGGCATTGGGCAAACATCCGAATGCTGAAATTTACCTGCAAATCACTAAATTGAGATCACACACCGCAGCAACATTGCCCACTTACGCGAATAACTTTGCAGGACCCTCCTATAAATGAGTCTTGAGACTCGGTGAGGCTTTCCGGGTTAAACAAGCGTAGCAACAATGATAATGTTAAGGGTAAGAATTAACCTGCATAATATAGAGAGGCAGTCGTAGGCAGAGGAGAGGAGTTTTGTGGATGAGTTAGGAATATTTATGAATGTTGTCACAGAGGACGTCGGCCCTGCTTTGCTCCCTGTGACTGTCCCCACCCCTCTGTGCGCCTGTTGCAGGATGGGGAGCGGTGGCGCTGCAGTTAGCATGCTGCACTCCGAACCCGAGTTCGTTTTAAGCTCACAACAAATAATGGTGGTGAATGTTTGAACCGATCCTGGGCATACCCTAGATCGACTCAGCCTTAAACGAGTACCTGGTACGATGTGTAAACGTCAGCCGTGGGTGGAGACAAATGTGGCCAGACGTGGTGCTGGCCACCCACCCTCTCGTGTGGCGTGCTGGCCTTAATAGGTGCTACTCACTAACTGCACTCATTCTGACAGTCCATTAATGGCTATACTGGGGATTGCCGTGTGTTACAGTACACCGTGTGGAACTTCATTCCCAAGAATCTCTTCGAGCAGTTCCGCAGAATCGCAAACTTCTACTTCATCATAATCTTCCTGGTGCAGGTGAGAGGTACACTCCATCTCCCAAGCGCTCATGCCCCCTCCCCCCCACTCTGCTGCTGCTGCGTACACTTGTACAGCACCCTTTGTCTATCCACTGCTGGATGAAGCCCTTCCAATGCCGTGCGGATCATGCGAATTGTCTGCCCATACTTGACCACACTGGTCGGTGAGGTTTAATGAAACGTGGAACGTCGAAGTACAGTACAACAATTTATTGCGCTGCACTGCTTTCCACAATGTAGTCCCGCAGCAACCTATAAGAACCTGCCACGAGCACCGAGATCCAGACGCAGATAAGAGGTGACGCGAACCTGGAATCGAGCACGATTACGGGAGCTCGGATGAAGGCCGCTGGTCGAGACTGAGAGGACGTGCACCGCACATATGGAGCGACGAAACAAGGTCGTGCGTAGTCGCTACAAGGATTGTTTGGTGCCAGGACTGAGCGATCGCACCGGCTTGGGAAGGCCTTCATCCAGTAGTAGATAGATAAATAATGATGATGATGATCATGACGGGATCCCAGGATACTAAATCTGTCTGTATTGCTGCATGCAGCTTGCGGCGACCGTGCCTGTGATGGTGATGCGAGTGAACCAGCGTGCTGCTGCTCGTTAATCGGGGTGGGGATGGGATGTTAATCTGTGCTTTAGAGGACACTCTCTGTGGACTGTGTGCTTATCTCTGCCTCCCGCCCTCTTGGTGTTTTGCAGCTCATAATAGACACTCCTACAAGTCCAGTCACCAGCGGGCTACCCCTCTTTTTTGTAATTATCGTCACGGCCATCAAACAGGTGAGTTTGGTAAAACCCCCACTCTTAGTTTCACAAATGAGCTCTAGCATTACGCAATCATCTTCCATTACAACCCTGGTCGTGCTTTTCTCTCGTGGTTTGGAGTTGCGCAGGCAATGCACGGCTCTCTCGCAAGGAAATTTCAGAACGAGAGTGGCTCATGAGAGGAGGATGTGAGATAAACGGTTGAATGCTGCGTGCTTGGTGTTGTAGGGCCATACGGCGATGTGTGATGGGCAACGTGGGCTCACTGTTCTGCTTTCCGTGCAGACCAATGAGCGTTAACCCCTTGTCTGCGCGATGCAGCTGTAGAGCGAGCGGCTCGTTTGAGTTCAGGTTCTGGTTGGAGGGGTTGACATCTTTCTGGGGTTAATAAAATGAATCACACTTTGTGAGGAAGTCACCAGCGGTTGTCATATGGTAGACCTGCCCCCGCCATAATAATGTGGAATTTCCACCGGCTGGCTCAGGGCTGTAAGCAGGAGATGCTCATTTGAAGTTCGTCCCACTGCGGTTGACGCACGAGCGTGTGCGGGCCGCTTCGCCTTGTGAGCCTCACTCACGGCGGGGCCATGGGTTACGCTTGCTTGCGTCCTACGCTGGCTCGCGTCCTACGCTGGCTCACGTCCTACGCTGCGTCTTTCGCTGCCATGCTCCGCCCCGTCACCGATGATGGTCGCCTCAAACAGCGCCCAGCCCGCCGCTGTTGGGTTGCGTCTCTGTGACTGTCCCAGGGGTATGAAGACTGGCTCCGGCACAAAGCTGACAACGAGACCAACAACTACACGGTGTACGCGGTGCGCAGCGGCGGCCTCGTAAAGACGCGCTCCAAAAACATTCGGGTGAGACACACGGCGGCGGTGCTGCAGCGGGAGGCGGTCACCGCGCATTGCGGAGGTTCACGGTTGGAATCTTCCAGGCCACTCTGGTTAATGCCGTGGTGCACGTATTAACTGTAAAATATTACTCCGCACCATTTGCTTCGCTTGCACTGGACGTTAATTCATTCAAACAAATGTAGTCAATTGTGCGCCGGTGTCAAGGGCTCATTTTGTCCAAATTTTAATAATTACGCCATAAATTATTCAGTTGTAAACAAATATCAATCATCACCCTCTCCTGGCAGGAACACATGAAGGGAAGTTCCAACACGTAGAGGGTCCGGAGGTGTTCACTGAGATGAATTACGCATAGGGAGTTGGCCAAAGCACGCTCCAGGGCCATGTTTGGGTGTGTTATTTACTAAAGCCCTAGCTATTTACTAAAGCCCTAGCTATTATTATCAGAGTTGTCTTTTTGTTTGCATTTTGACTGCTTGTGTTGTGGTTATTGCAGACATGATGCCTTGAATAAAGGTGTCAGTTTTTTGTGCCAGTTAAAAGGGTAAAACCTATTACTATACCCTAGCCTCCTCCTTGCCTAGCCAATTCTCCGTTAGAGCCCACCCACATTCTGTGTTGCAAACGTCAATCGTTTCTTAAACAAGGAACTGCCGCTTCACTAATCAGGGCCTTCCTTACTTGGCGTTCCGCCAATGGGAAATTTCATGCATCTTTCAAATGACAGAAGTGTAATTGCATGTTGGTACTGCTGCGGGTGCTGCTGGTGCCGACGTTTCTGGCGCCGATGTCGGCGTTGCTTCTGACGTTGGCTGCGGCAGTGACCCCGTGACCCAGCGCCTTGACCTCGCGACCCTGTGACCCCCGTAGGTGGGCGACATCGTGCGTGTCACGTCAGACGAGACGTTCCCGTGCGATCTGGTGCTGCTCTCGTCATGCAACGGGGACGGCACATGTCACGTGACGACTGCGAGCCTCGATGGGGAAACCAACCTCAAGGTTCTCCGTTCGCGCAATGCTCGCGCCACGTTCCCGTGCTCATTGTTTCCCCGGGCTGATGCGTTCACCTTTGCCTTGCGAGATGACCTTTGCCCCACTCGGTGACCTTTGCCCTGGCGTTCGGACGCGGTTCAGTTTTGTCCACGAGCTGAGCGGCCGTGCCAGGTCCCTGAGAGGGTCGAGAGAGCAGAGGTCATTAGGGAGCGGCCGCCATGTCATCACCGTCATCCACAGCTGCCACGCGTGCATTTACAGTGACTTGGTGTCGCCGCGTACAGCGCTGTGCCAGCCCACTGCTGGATGAGAGCCTTCCCATGGATTCATTCAGATATTACTCCTCACTGATATGAGCTGTGGTAAAGCATGGAACTTGATGTGTGATAACCACTGTGCCCGCGCTCCACAATACAAAATAAAATTAATTGTTATAATTACATAGAGCATAGCACAGCGAGTGGTAAGACTGCTTCGAGACCCTTAGTAATCTGCACTTTTAAAGGGGCTCCCACACTGCGTCAGCAAGGAAACCCATTAACAGGCGCTTAGCAAACACCACCAGCTGGGTTTGCAAAGTGTCTCAGTGCGTCCACATCTCAAAACACTTGCCCGTACCACGTTCCACAGTGTGCGGATCGTTAATGTTCAGCGGCCACCTATGACCATATCACCCTGCATGAGCCATAACAATGAGAATGGAGTTGGCCAACATTGACATCCCTGGTCAAATGAGCCAGGGCCCGCCCAATCTCGTTGTATCTCGGTGGCTCATTGCTTGGATGGGCTACCACCGTGCATAAGCCCGCTGCTACAGGCTGCTGCTGCTGCGAGGCGACATGCCAGGCAGAGCGCAGGACAGTGCCGCAAAGGCCATTCTTGTACTGTCCTACACGCCCATGTCTTGACAAACCAGCACTGACCAGTGTGAAGTATGGTTAAAATAATAATCGTTCTTCATCGTACCAGTGAGCGAGCCGAAGCAATAATACTTGATGCGTTATTAAACGCTTGCACTCATGACAAATGAATTTGTTTGGCTGCGTCGGGTGGTGGACGGTCCTGAAATACACAGATGCCTCTTACGCCAAGCGCAGAGGACAAAGTCCGCACGGCCACGTCATAGCGCATGACAGGAGGGCAGCGCCATAACACTGATGGGTTTCATTCACATTACACATGGTTTAGATGTGTGATTTCAATACGTTGACAATTTGTCATTTTATCTAAATTACACGGCACTGTCAATTTGTCTCCCACTACATTACTCCAGTAATTTGTAATTCGATGGTATTTGCCCATCTCTGGCTGTGTTTATTTATGAGTGTGGGGGCTAGGGTTTCTCTGCTGCTGCGGTTGTTAAGTGCCGATGTCTGCGTCCCCACGCTGTGTGCAGACCCACACGGCCCTGCTGGACACGGCGAGGCTGCAGTCGCTGCTGCAGCTCTCTGAGCTGCACGCCACCATCGAGTGTGAACAGCCGCAGCCCGACCTCTACAGGTGACCCGAGCGCGCCATCGAGATCGCCGTCATCATCGCCGTCGTCATCGCCGTCGTCATCGCCATCATCGTCGCCATCGTCGCCATCATCATTGCCCGCGATAATGCGCCAGGGAAATCTTGGTTTCCGGCAGTGGATTCCGCACCATTTTTTGTTGTCAAAAGTCTAGTTGCCGAATATGGACAAGGGCCAACAGCTGGAGATATGATGGAAGATGATTAGTCTGCAAAGCAATATGGGGAAGAGGGCAAAATGGAAAGAAATCGATTATTTGGTGAAAAGCATCTGTTAATTCGTTAATGATATCGGCCAGTTATCCTGATGCAGGCACCTCGTGAAAAAAAGCCTTGTGACTCATTGAGGCTTTCCTGGGGCTGTCGTCCGTGTTGTTGTGGTTGTTGTTGTGGTGTATCTGATGGTAACGGAGCATGCGCTGTGTTGATGGGCAGGTATGTGGGCAGGATGGTGATCCACCTGGAAGACACGGAGCAAGATGTTGTGAGGTGAGACACGGCAGCATGGCGACCATCGGCATGCGTGCCGCGTGCACTCCTACCAAGCGATGATGGCGGCTGTCTGTTTCACGGTGGATGTTATGTATCCCGTGATGTCGGTCGATAACAGCCGGCCATTGTGTGCCGGTGTCACGGCCCACATTCGCCAAATTTGAAAGATTCCACTGCAAGTTACTCGAGTGGGATTACACAGAGCCACATCGTCCAGTCCGGTGAAATAATTGCAGACCGCGCCTGTGAAATAGCCCCTCCATGATAGCCTCGGACTTTGAGAACTGCGCGGATACCAAACGTTTTAGGCCATTACTTTTTATTCGTTACTAATGAGAGAGTAAGTGGCCCAGTGGCTAGGAGCTCAGAGGCCCTGCGTTCGACTTCGAGTTCCGTTCTAGGTTTCTGCCCTCTGTCGTTAAAGCAGGGTTTACTTTGATAGTACCGTACTCAAACATAACATTTTGTAAAACTGGAATTTAAGAAAATATTTGGTTTTGATATCACTTTTCAAAACATGAGCAAGGTTTTTGCTACTGTTGAAGCTAAGCATGTGGCTGGAGGTGGCTCAGAGGTGAGAGCACCGCTGAGATCCAGGGTTCAAATCCAGGATTTGCCCACCTTCCATTAAACCGGCTTTTCAAGCGCAGGGAGATGGGGGTGTTTGGCGCAGAGATGGAGTCATGCAGTCAACTCACGTGCAGGTTCTGGGTACATTGTTACATTGTAGGACCATGAGAGATGGTGGTGGCTTGGGGGAGTCCTTGATCCGGCGGTGGATTGATCATGGCTGATGATGACAATGGTGAAACGCTCACAGTCAGCTGCATTACATAGAGCTTAGCTTGAGTAACTCATGCAGCAGAGCCCATTGAGATGAGGGGCAAGTGGTTGGTATTTTTTGTAAATGTCGGCATTAGCAGAACACTGCTGTGTGTCCCGCGTGTGTCTGAGTGTGTGTCTGAGTGTCTTTGTGTGTGCTGTTGTTCTGACTGCTCTCCTCAGGCCCCTGGGACAGGAAAACCTCCTGCTCCGGGGCGCTCGCCTCAAAAACACCGACGAGATCTTCGGTGAGCATCCCTTTAGACCGCGTCTCCCTCCTCCCATGCTTTGCGCTTCCCCACAGCGAGAGGGGAAGTGCAGGGCGCCCCACCTGCAGGCGCCCCACTTGCAGGCACCCCACCTGCGTTCTGCTGGTCTGCAGCTCTCTCATCTCACTCTTGTTAATCTCTCCATCATCCTACTCACCTGGTATCTAGGACCAGCTGCAGCTCCTCTCGGACGGGGTGGGGGGTCAGTAGAGCGGTTGTGCGGGGGCCACAGTCACGGCGATTCACCGCTAATGAGTGTGAACTTAGGGGGACCAAGGGGACACTTGGTGGTGCAGGACCCAAACCAGCGCCTCGCTAGCACCGGCCCGGTCTGTATCTCCCCTTGTCTCGGTGTAACATAGCCAAATTGGCCGCTGCAAGGGCCTTTGTGGGCCAGATGTGACCTGCGGGCCCGCCAGGTGAAGAGGGCCACTGTGGTCGTGTGAAGTATCTGGTGTACCACGAGGCGGGAGCGGCGTCCCTGCCGTGGCCGGGGTCGTGTTTAACGGAGCCGCGTGGTTGCTTCTCGTCGCCAGGCGTCGCCGTTTACACGGGCATGGAGACCAAGATGGCGCTCAACTACAAGGGCAAGTCGCAGAAGCGCTCTGCCGTGGAGAAGTAAGTCTCTTCTTTCCCGCGTGCTCCCGGCCACCTTTTGCCACCCTCCCGAGTTGATTTGTTTACGTGTAACTTGTTCTCCACTCTCCTGCCCAAGTCGACATTGTTTAAGCCTTAACTCCATCCATCGGTAACGTGGGGTCACGATAATTCGAATGACTGATTCGATACGAACAGAACTTTGATGTAAGCCATGTTGCTATCTCATCTTCCAGTCATCTCGGTCAACTCATAATTCCTGACCTCAACGTGCACCTAGCCTGGCACAAGCGCCATGGTGATGTCACTGCCTCTTAGTGGTAAAGGGCTATTGTTGTTGGCTGTACGTGTCTGTGTGTGGGTTTGTACATGCCTGTGTATGTGACCATACATGCCTGCCTGCGTGTGTGTCCGTACATATGTGCGTGTGTGTGCCCAGGTCGATGAACTCATTCCTCACCGTGTACCTCACCCTGCTGTTGGTGAAGGCTCTGCTGAGCACGGTGCTCAAGTACTGGTGGCAGGCGACGCCGCAGAATGACGAGCCCTGGTACAACGGCAAGTCCGACAAGCTGAAGCATGTCAATAAGGTGAGGGCCGTCACCATCTCACATGGAGTCGCGGGTCGAGGGCTGGCCCCACCTCCTCTTGTGAGGTCGGCTCTCACCTCCCTGGTTTGCTGAATACTTCGGTGAATTCCTCGCGATCCAATCATGCGTTCAACAACTATACCACAATTGATTTCACAGTTTCGCACTGTTATAAATTATACACATTCGTGTGTTCCATAGAAATTAATAATTTATTTCTAGCTTAGGCCATGTAAAGAACTGACCATATCTGTATCATTAGACCTCCTTTGCCAGTACCAAAATATAATAATAGGATTTTTCCCATTTTTTCTGACATCAAAACTGAAACCTTTTTACAAGGAATTATGTGTGCATTAACCACGATACTTGTGGTCAAAATGCAAACAAAAAACACACTGATAATATATGCATTGTCCTTGAAACTGATTGGTCCACACCAGAGATGGCTTTCTGGCAAAGGAGGTCTAATGATGTAGATGCTTACCCCGAGCCCTCATTACTTTGATAGTGCATTGTCTTTGAGCTGTACACCTTTTGGCGTCCTCTGGTCTACCACCAATTGAGACGAGGCTCAAAAGAAAGCCGTTTCTGGTGTGGACCAATCAGTTTCAAGGACAATGCATACATTGTCAGTGTGATTTTTTGTTTGCATTTTGACCACTGGTATTGTGGTTAATGCAGACATGATTCCTTGTAAAAAGGTTTGAGTTTTGTTGCCAGAAAAAAGGGGTTAAACCCTATTATTATGACCATATCTGTGTCATTAAGAACCTTCCACCACCTGACACAGCCTAACTAAATACTTCTCATGTGCACTGGTGTTGTTTGGTAACACTATTACGTGTGACCGCTATGCGGGCCACGCTAACGTGTGCGGTGTGCTGCGTGCCGTGTCGCCCCGGCAGTTCCTCGCCGGCTTTGCCGACTTCCTGGCCTTCATGGTCCTTTACAACTACATCATCCCCATCTCGCTCTACGTCACCGTAGAGATGCAGAAGTTCCTCGGATCCCTCTTCATCAGCTGGGATATGGCGCTGTACGACGAGGGCTCGAACGAGCGCGCACTCGTCAACACCTCCGACCTCAATGAGGAGCTGGGCCAGGTTGGTTTGGGCGGATGTAGTGTCAACCACAGTGCCACCCACAGTGTCAACCACAGTGTCAACCACAGTGTCACCCACAGTGTCAACCACAGTGTCAACCACAGTGTCACCCACAGTGTCAACTACAGTGTAAATCACAGTGTCACCCACAGTGTCAAAGACAAAGACAAAGATCCCCCATATAGCCTTAGCAGACTGTAGGGGCAAGTTCTGTTAGCGAGCACCTATGAAGGCCGGAACGGTGCACGAGGGTGTGGGTGGCCAGCACCACGCCCGACCGCCTTTGTCTCCCTAGTGGCAATGTTTACACACCGCACCAGGTACTAATTTGAGGCTGAGTCGACCTAGGGGAGGCCCGGGACCGGTTCAGATAATCGTCACTGGTGTTGGCCGTGAGCGGGAATCGAACCCGGGTCGCCAGGTTCATAGCGCAGCGCGCTAACCTCTACACTATCGCTCCCCAGTGTCAACCACAGCGTCACCCACAGTGTCACCCATCACCCACAGTATCAACCATATTGTCAACCACAGTATCAACTACAGGTCTCCCTGTGAGGTGTCCACCATAGTAAACATGTAATGTGTCTGTGAATTATAAACCTTGGGTTTGTCTGTTAAAACTCAACTACAAGTGTCAACCATAGACCCCGATATTCAGTGTGATCTCTGTTCTTCATAGCACGAAGGGCTCATTGATTAACCACAGCCTTCCCTGGGTACATTGTTCTGTTCTCAGCTTTCCAAAAGCACTTAAGAACATTCCATCAGTTTGATTGTGTTCCACCATCAATAGCAGGGCACGGTTCACACGTTCTACTGTGATTCGTTATTGCGTTTCGGGGGAGGCCACCACATAATTACCTGACCAAATCCGTGTCATTAGGAACCCTCCACCACCTGACGCAGCGAAACAAATTAACTGACTAGGCATGTAAGTGGATAATGATGCGCTAATGACGATTGTTTTGGCTCCCTCGGCGATGAGCTAGAAAGTTACGCCAAGTTTCGTTTGACTCCTGGCCTCTGACTGTTTCTATTGTGTGTGCATCTCTCTTTGTGTGTCTCTGTGTGTCTCTCTGTGAGTCTGTCTCCAATTGCCAGTACGTGTCTGTGGGCATCCCTTCGTGCATCGTCTGTCTTTTTGCATCCATTCATGTGCGTCTGTCTGTCCGTGTGCGCAGGTGGAGTACGTGTTCACGGACAAGACAGGCACGCTGACGGAGAACGACATGCAGTTTCGCCAGTGCTCTATCGGCGGGGTCAAGTACGTGGAGGAGGACGGAGTCCTCCTCCCGCTCGGAGGCGGTGGTGCCGGTGGAACCGACGACGATGGCGGTGCCGGTGCCGCCACTCCCGACAGCCCGGCCGCCATCTCCAGCAGCAACATCACTGTACGCTCACCGGGGCGTTGGGGGGGGAGATGCCAGTGAGGCGGTGAGGTAGAGATGTAACTGGATGACTGCAATGTGAGTGACCCATAACAAACTAGATCTGTGAGATTAAATAAGTAAATACATTTGTATATATCCTTCGGCTCATTTCGCTTGTGCGCCCGATGTCTCATAATGAGACGATACGCCGGTGGAGAGCATCGTCGCGCGTGCCGCAGTATGACATCGCAGATTGCTCCGAGTGAACTCTGGCCCACGCCGTGGCGGGGCAGCACTTTCCCACCTGCCATGCCACGAGAATAATGTTCGGGAAAGCCAAACAGATATTTTACATTTTATTTTGGCCAAGTTGAGTGCAGAACCGAGCGTCATGTGAAGTTGTTTTGGTGAAGTCACCGCCGAGCACATCGTCAGCTGATGAGGGGAGCGGCCCCGCGTCAGGCAAGCGAATGTCTCGCGTCTGCGCATCTTCCGTCACAGCCGTCCGTGGTGCAGTTCTTCCTGGCGCTGGCGCTGTGCCACACGGTTCACATCAGCAAGGAGGAGGGAGGCAGCGTGGACGAGACGGGGGGCGCCTCCGTGGGCAGGGCCACGGGAAGGGGGGGCAGCGCCGCTGGCCGACCCGCCGTGCTCTACTACGCCTCCTCTCCGGACGAGAAGGCCCTGGTGGAGGCCGCGCAGAGGTGCGTGCTTGCGATCGGCTCGTGCTTACGGAGACGCGGGCAGAGATCGTGTTCCTGGGTTGGATCTATCCACCGGCGTAGTCTTGCGGGACGAGTTAATTCAGACATCCGTGATGGGTGGAATTGAAAGGTCTCTTGCGTGCTTACAATATTAATCGGAGCCTGTAGAGTAAACATGGTGGGAGTTATTTGCCTTATCTGTCAGATTCCTACGTGAAGGAAAAGCAGACTTGCTCCTGAAAAATCACTCGCTACTCTTGAGAACTAGGCTGAATCACAGGCAAATGCTGCGTTTGAACTGAGAATCTCAGAAGTGCGAGTTCAGTGCTTGGTGAGAAGTAAAATGTAACAGGATGGGTTCGTTGCATAATCATCGGTGACCAGGCTGTGGCCGTGAACTCTGCTGCACTTGAGCCCCGGAGCGTCTCCGTGGTTGCTCTGTTGGTGCTGCCTCTGTGGTGGGGGTGGCGAGAACTCGGCGCCACCATGAGCGTCACGCCGCCATGCGCCGCCTGTCTCCGCAGGCTCGGAGTCACCTTCCTTGGCCTGCACGGGGACATCATGGAGGTTCAAACCATGGGCGATGTGAACAGGTTCGCACGCACGCGTACACACACCGGGTCCACGCAGGGAGACGCACCCCACGAACCAGCTTCTTGTGCCAATTAGAGCCAGCCATTCCGATTATTTTGAGTGGCCGATTGCTCCTCTGATTTTCAGGCATGTTGCTCGACTCGTGCGATTAAACAAAAATCCTCGAAAAAAAGTGTCATCTTTTTCTCGCCACTTCTGGGTGATAGATCCGTGGAGGAGCATGCGCGGATTAACAGGAGTAGTGGATAACAAGTGCACGGATAAGAGAGGTTTCACTCGCTCAATGTGCGTAGCACGGGGCCTCCCGGCGTGCGTTTTGAAGTGAGGGGGGCCGTGGAAGCCATGCGTGGCCCTGCCGTGCCGCAGGGCTGGGTTGCTGAGTGAGCGTTCGTGCCGCAGGTTCAAACTGCTGCAGGTGCTGGAATTCGACTCCAACCGGAGGTGCATGAGTGTCATCGTGGAGAAGGAGTCGGGTGAGTGGCGCGTGTGCACGTGGACCCCCCTAATGGAGCATCTTCACCGGTTAGAAACATTTAGGCTGGCCTGCCTACGAGCCATCCTGGGTTTAACCAGGCTGGATTGTGTGAGGAGCTCACAAATCCTTGAAGATCTGGACAAAGTCCCATCAGTGAGCTCCTCCGGCAGGCAAGGCTGTGTTGGTTGGGTCATGTAGCCCGCATGCCCAGCCACCGCATGCCTAAACAGCTTTTGTTCGGCCGGATCGAGGGGGCTAAACGGACGTGGTACGAGCTAGAGAAGAGATGGAGTGATGTGGTACAGGAGGACGTGGAGCTGAGTGGACTTGCCGATGACCGGTACCAGCGGTGTCAAGATCGGCCTCTGTAGAGGAGGCTCGTGAAGGACGCTACTGGGCAGTTGGAGGCAGTCGCCCTCCAACAACAACAGAGGGCGGAGGAGCGACGCTCACAACAATGAGCGGAGCGCCGGGTGGCTAAAGCACAGCAAGTTGGCACAGTAGGGGGCACAGGTGGTGCATCAGCCGGTCATCTCGGTCATCTCAGTCAGTCGACCCGTGGCACCTGCTGGGTCTGCCCCGTGACCCAGCGGGCTTTCGACACTTCACGTTGCCTCAAGGTGCACATGGCCTGGCACAAGCGTCGTGGTGACGTCACCGCCACTTAGTGGCGAATGGCGGTTGTTGTTGTTGTGTGCTGCTCCCACCCCCTTATGTGCCGTGCCGCATTCATTCATGCTCGCTTACGGCACTTGCCCCCAATTGTCTATGGAGGTTATACGGGGGACCTTTGTCTTTAGGTTTGAATGTGAAAACGGACGTGGATGGAGGTGGTCAGATAACCACCTCATGGTATTCCACACGAATGGGCCTCTGAGCTGGCGAGGTCGTTGAGAACGGCGCTCGTCCAGGGTGACTTGGTCATGGGCGTCTTCGTCACACACCTCTCTCTCTATCTCCCACAGGCGATGTCCTCGTCATCACCAAGGGAGCTGAGTCATCCATCCTGCCCAAGGTCGTGTCGGGAGAGGTGGAGCGCACGCGGGCTCAAGTGGACGAGTTCGCCATGGTATGGACCGGCCCGTGTGCTGCTCCAACGACCATCGAGGCAGCAGTGCTCCTCTCGTATTTATTGCCCTATGGAGCCAGCGGTGCATTCCGATGAAAGGGTCGAGTCTATACACAGGACAACCTCTATTGGCTTCCCCACAAATCCTCCCCCAAAACAGGATTCGACCTCAAAACCTTTAGTTGCAAACTACCCGCTCCGCTGCCGAGCTGCCTGCTGAGCTGCTGGCCGCTGCACAGCAACTGACGCTATTTTCTGGCCAACTAAGCGGGACATTGATTCTTTCATTACCATTCATCGCGCGAGACACAAGGGAGGGACTGAACACGTGCACTCTCGCTGCGATAACTCCAGCCCCATCAGCACAAATCAAAAGACGGATCAACGTCGTTTGATTTGGGGCAATGTTAACAGCGCTTGCCCCAATAGTCCATTAAGGCTATACGGGGGATCTTTGTTTTTCATAATAATCTTTGTTTTTGCTGTTGTTACAAAATATGAAATGCAGCCATTACCATCCTTGCAAGCAGCCGTGCTTAAAGGTTGTTGCAACCAATTTAGACTCGACTGGAGGAATTTAACAGAGGGGCGCCTTGGTCAGCCCCCTCCAGCCGCCCCCCTGTCGCTTCTCCTGGGCTGCCTTCTAACGCCGTCCGCGAACGTGCCCCCTTGCTCTCCCCGACTGCCGTCACGCAGGAAGGCCTGCGCACCCTGTGCCTCGCCTACAAGGCTCTGAGCGGGGCGGAGTACTTGGAGACAGAGCAGCGGCTGCACGCGGCGCGCGTGGCGCTGCAGAACCGCGACGACGAGACGCGTGCCGCCTTCGACGCCATCGAGAGTGGCCTGCACCTGTTGGGGGCCACCGGCGTGGAGGACCGGTACGTGCGGGTCGGCGGGGCGTGGGGCGCAACCACATGCCTCGCACCACGCACACCACCACGTCACGGCTTAGCACACATACCAGACCACATGGCTTACACCATGTACACCATCTTACCACTGCCAAAAAACACATACTACACCACTTGTCTTTCACCACACACACCGCCACACCACATGCCTTACATGTGGTGCGCTACCCCCTCCGCCCCCACCCCCTGTCCCCCCCCCACTCGCAGGCTGCAGGAGGAGGTTCCCGAGACGATTGAGGGGCTCCGGCGTGCAGGCATCAAGGTGTGGGTGCTCACGGGCGACAAGCAGGAGACGGCCGTCAACGTGAGCTACTCGTGCGGCCACTTGCAGCGCGGCATGGCCGTGCTGGAGCTCACGGTCCAGACCTCGGCCGAGGAGTGCGCCGAGACGCTGCTGCAGCTGCTCAAGCGGTGAGGTTGCCGCGTCCACGCGTGCGACTGTTCACATGTGCGAGCGTTCACATGTACGAGTGTTCACATGTGCACGCACGCAGTTTATTGGCGCCAGGCCATCTACCTCTCTTGTTGGAACCAGACGCGTTTCCTTCCACGCACTTTCCGTCTCCTAGCAACCTGGCCCGATATTTTGGTAGTCATCCAGCCCCGTGCTGTCGGCCGTCGCCATCAGGCATCCCGCGCATCGTCCCGTTCTTGGGCCGTGACCGAGTTCCATCCCTATCTGTTCCGTTATTGTTCCACTTTCCTTTGTTTCATCATTTTGGGTTCCACTCTCCTGTGTTTAATGCTTCTTAGCTCCATGAGTCTCTGTTCCATTATTGGCGAAGGACGGTGCGACGCAGCTACGTGTGATGCAGCGGGTGTGCGCATGCGTTTTGCTTTGTTGCGGTGTAGGGTACGGAAGGACGGTGTGACGAAGCAGGGCGTGTGTGTGCCATGTTGATGCGCTACAGGATGAATGAGGACGGCGTGACGCAGCAGGCGCTTGTGGTGGACGGTGCGAGTCTGTCGCTGGCGCTGTGTGAGCACCAGGAACTCTTCATGACGGTTTGCCAGAGCTGCGTTGCTGTTGTTTGCTGCCGAATGGCGCCGCTGCAGAAAGCCAAGGTGAGCGCAGTGGATGGCGCTGCCGTGTGTGTGTTGGTCTGTGTATGTGCGTGTGTATGTATAAGTCGGTGTTTGTAGACACGTACGTGTGTGTACATATAAGCAGGAGTGTAGCGGTTATCGCGCTACGCTATGCACCTGGCGACCCGAGTTCGAGTCCCGCTCACGGCCAACACCGGTGACGATTATCTTAACTGGTCCTGGGCCTCCTTCGGTCGACTCTGCCTCAAATGAGTTGTTTGTGCAATGTATAAACATTGCCACTAGGAAGACAAAGGTGGCGGGGCTTGGTGCTGGCCACCCACCCCCTTATGTCCTGTGCCGGCCTTCATAGGTTCTCGCCAACAGCACTTGCCCCAACAGTCTGTTCAACCTATACGGGGGATCTTTGTTGTGGTGCAGGTGGTGCGTCTGATGAAGACATCGTCCAGCAGCCCCATCACCCTGGCCATCGGGGATGGAGCCAATGACGTTAGCATGATCCAGGAGGCGCACGTGGGCATCGGTGAGACACAGGGAGACACGAGGAGACACAGGGGCACATGGAGATAAACAGGGCGACATGGGAGACACGGGGTGATACGAGGACATCCGGGGAGACACATGCATACCACAGAGACAATTTTTTGTAGAAGGGCCGATATTGCAGCTGTGCCATCGCAAATTAGTAATTTTCTGGTAATATTTTCGGCATTGGGATGTTTGGCCAAATACCGGTTTTGTTTTAAGCTATGGGAGGAAACCATAAAACTCGGAGGAAACCCATTGCAGAAGAGGGGAGAACGTCCCAACTCCACATCGAGTGGGGCCAGGATCGGGGATTGAACCCGGGTCCTGTTTGGTTATTAGATTTTTCAAACAAGGAAGTAATTCAATCGTAGGTTAATGTGGGTTTAATACAAATTATGTATGACTTGAGTAGTGGAGTCGGCGTTTCATGATGCGTGCATGCATCACAATATGCGTGCCGATGACAATGATCGGTATCTTTATGGAGAGGATGATCTTGATTTGAAGCTTTCGTGACTGCAGGAATCCATATTCTTTGGTTCTTTCGGTAAAGTCATGGAGGTAGAAATAAAATAAAAACAAATCACGACGTTTCGATCGCAACACAAGCAATCTTCATCCGGTGGAACAACGACAGCAAGAAAAATGCTGAAGTAGGCAAGAGAGCTGCCGTGGCAAGAGGTTAAATAGGTGGTCGGTATTACCTTGTTGTCGCGGCATCTCTTCAGAAAGGTGAGAGACTCGATCATGTGAGCCTTCTTGTCTCGCAGTCTGTTAAAGGCTCTAACAGATGTGTGGAAACCCTTCCCGTAGAGGTGGAGAGGATGATGTTGATTATGTTGACGCTATGGTTATCATGATGATGATTATATTAATGACAGTGGTAAGCACAGTTACAATGTCATAAGATAACAGTGATGATGGTTATAATGGCGACGACGACAATGAAGATAACGATCGCGCCTCTTCTGTGCCACTTCCTGTGCGACACAAGGCATTATGGGTAAGGAGGGCCGGCAAGCGGTGAGGAACAGCGACTACGCCATCGCGCGCTTCCGCTTCCTGCTACGCCTGCTGCTTGTGCACGGACACTTCTACTACGTCCGCGTGGCCGAGCTCGTGCAGTACTTCTTCTACAAGGTGAGCAATCGTTCTGCGTGTCTCTCCGACCTCCGAGCCGGCCGGAGCGCCCAGTTGGCGCTCCCGAGAGCCTGAGTTCGAGCCCGCGATCTCGGCGGTGCCGTGGTTACCTCTCACCGTACTCATCGCCGCCGCTCGTGTCGCGCTGTCTTCTTGTTGCAGAACGTGTGCTTCATCATGCCGCAGTTTCTCTACCAGTTCTACTGTGGCTTCTCCCAACAGGTGATGCCTCCGCCACCACTCACAGCCTCGTCTATCTTTTTTATTATGACTACGTTTGGTTACCCAGGTCCCGCCAATCTTGACTATTTTTCTAGAGGGTCCTGCCAATCTTTGACAGTAGGGGGCCACGATTGTTACGCATACTCACAATGGAGTACCGAATTTTCCTGCTTATAGCCCGCATACGCATATAACCCGCAGACGCATATACCCCGCAAAAAGAGCGTTTTGTGTAAAACAAATTTCAGATAGCCCGCACCTCCATATACCCCGCATGCATTCATATCTTTAACGTCGTTACCGCAGCTTAATTCCATCATATTAATACGAAGTTTACATTTGTAATACATTCCACTATCAATTGTTAACATTTAAATCATAACGTGCACAAAGAAAACAAACTAACCGGAAACGAGTGAACTTAAAACAGTAAATAAGTAATAGGTAAATATCCAATAAATAAGTAACACATAACTGGTAGATAAGAAGTACAGTTTTAGCACTCGTAGATTGCGCACTGCGCAGATAATAGCGGCACTATGGTACGCCATTGCCCCGCCCCCAACTCCCCCCCCCCCCCGCCTCTCTCTCCCCCAACTGCCCCACCCCCACCTCTCCCTCCCCCCAGCTACCCCCCAACCCCCACCTCTCGCTCCAGCTCTCCCGTCACCACCACAGACCTTGCTCTGCCCCACCCCCCAACCCCCACCACTCTCTCCCCCACCTCTCTCTCCCCCTCGCTCTCCCGACAAAGTGCGCCCACTTCAAACATTGTCGTTTAATTGTACAAACAATTCGAATAATTTAAAACGTGATAACATGTGCAATTTTAGTGTGAGTGGTTCATTCAGCAGTGCTTAGTCAAAGGTAAGTGTTGCATAGTGGATAGTCCTACCATGAAAAAAATAAACGAGTTATGACATGTCACACATGTAAAATATTTTTGGGATCACCCGCACCTCCATATACCCCGCAGGGTCTTGTTTTGTTGTAAAAAGTAGTATACCCCGCGGGTTATATGCAGGAAAATACGGTAATTTTCTGGGAATTAATAAAGTATCCAAATGTGGAGCTTCGGTGCTGCCTTGCGTGCCGCCCCGCAGACGCTGTACGACAGCGCCTACCTCACGCTCTACAACATCTGTTTCACCTCGCTGCCCGTCCTGCTCTACAGCCTCATGGAGCAGCACGTGAAGCCCGACCTGCTCATGAACACACCGGCGCTCTACCGGTGAGCGCAGCGCTGCCACAAACAATCGCGCGTCGCGCTCCTCGTGCCGGTCAATTTCGTTCCACGTTTCGACCGCAGCTTGGGGCTCTGTTGTTGAGTGCGGAGTGGTTGGCGCCGCGCTACTCGAAAACTCGGGCATCTTGAATTGGATTACCGCTCACAGCCAACATTAGTGGCGAGCGATACCTGAAATGGTCCTGTGCCACCCATCCCTCTTTGCTAACCCTCATGGACCAGCGTAGTGAAGTATGGTAAAATAGCCCTCACGATGGACACGACAAGGAGAGGACTTGATCCAGCTGTGGTTTGACAAAGGGTTGTTTATAATTATTTCATCATCATCAGTCGTGATCAGAAGGCCTCCCCGAGTCGTCAACCGTCATGACTATTTCTCTTCACTGGAGCTCCCCTGTGAAGCGGTGTGGTCGGTACTGTGTCTCCCGCAGAGACGTGAGCCGCAACTCGCTGCTGGGCGCGCGGCCCTTCATCTATTGGACAGTGCTCGGCGTCTTCGATGGCCTCGTCTTTTACTTTGGAGTTTTCCTCCTCTTCAGCCACCACACGTCACTCTCGAGCAACGGGCAGGTGAGCGACAGGCACCGGCGCTCGAAACTCTGCTCGCCACCGCTCGCTCCTACGGCAATGTGAGCCAGCGCCGGAGGGGTGGGGGGGCGAGTGTGGGGCTCCCCCGGCGTTTGTGCAGCAAGGTGGCGGCGGCAGGGTGGTGCGTTCCTGCAATTTGCGGCGTGTCCGCGTTCCTGGCCTCGTCTCGCACTTCCCTCCTCGCTTACAGACTTCCTTCCCTTTCCGCTGACCTCCCTTGCCTTCACGGCTCTTCTCTCACTCGCTCTCACTCCGCGTTTCTCTTCCTCTTCTGCCTCCTCCTCCTCCTTGTGTTTCTCATGCTTGCTGACGAAAGGCCTACAATCCAAACAAGCACCAGGTGAGTTGGCACTCTGCGTGTACCCTGGGAGTATGAGCAGCATTGAGTTGGGATGGGATAGGATTGGGCCTAGGTGGGGGGTCGGAGTCTCGGGCGAAGGTTGACTGGGTCCTTCAACAAAGTGCCAAGGAGAGACACTTCGTAGAGGGGCCTCTGGTTGACACTCGCAGAGAGGCCAGTGGAGGGATGCGATGATCTCGCGCGGTGAAACCGAGATCACGGGGATTTTACCACAAGCTCCGCCACGCCGGTGACCCACAGACCGAGGCCTTCCCTAGGCCGCTGTGTGGGGGGACCCTGAGATGAGCGCCGTTGTCTCCCTCAACAGATGTTCGGGAACTGGACCCTGGGGACGATGATCTTCACCGTGCTGGTGTTCACGGTGAACCTCAAGGTGAGCCCCCTCTCGCTCCCTCCCTCTCTCCTTACTCCCCAACCCCTTCCCTTCCCAATCCCTCCATGGTGCAGTTGCTATGGTAAAGTTGCCTGCGTTAATGTTGGCATTGATGACGGTGGCATTGGTGTTGTGGTTGTGTATGTATGAGTGTATCTTTGTATTTGTGTGTTTAAATATACGTCTAAGTAGTGGCCTTCATAAGTCCTCACAACCCCAAAAGCCTGCCTTTGTGTCTATGTGTTTGTGTATACATGTGTTTTGTGGGGGCGTGCATGCATGTCTGTTTTTGTGTGTGTATGCATGTACCTGTGTGTGCGTGGTGTGTGTGGTGGTGCAGCTGGCCCTGGACACGCGGTACTGGACGTGGATGAATCACCTGGTGACTTGGGGCTCCCTGGGCTTCTACATCCTGTTCTCGCTCTTCTATAGTGGCATCATCTGGTGAGAGGGGGCATGTGATTGTGTATGTGTGTGAGTGTGGAGGAGGCCCTCCAACAACAGCGGAGGCTGGAGGGGTGGCGCAAAAAACAACGAGGGGAGCTTTGGGCGGCTAAAACCCAGCGAGGTGGCATGTGTGAGGCGTTATCAGTGATATCTGCGTGTAAACGTGTGGGTTGCATTGTTGTTAATGACGCGTCTCTGTAGATGCCTATATGTGTGTGCGTGCGTGCTTATTTACCGTGTGTGCGTGAACGCTCTCCCCGTGCGCGCAGGCCATTCCTGCGGGCGCAGGACATGTACTTTGTGTTCATGCAGCTGCTGTCGAGTGGCCCCGCGTGGCTTGGCATCATGTTGCTTGTCACTGTGAGCCTCCTGCCCGACCTGCTCAAGCAGACGGTGTGGAGAACTCTGTGGCCCACAGCCACGCAGCTCTTGCAGGTATTACGCATGCACACTCGCACACATACATGCACGAACGTGGATGGGAGAGCGGGGGGGGGGGGGGGTGACGAGAGAGACCTGAATAGGGGACAGGGGAAAGGGAGAGAGGGGCGACGATGGGATAGGGGCCATGGCAAGTGGTGGACAAAGGCAGATGGGGGGTAGAAAATACATAAAATATATAATAAAAACACAAAAGACGCATTTATTTATACATTTCAGAAAATTCATGTCCAAAAGTGAGAGAAGGCAAGGTTGCCGTTAGCCAAGCGCGTGGAAAACCGATGCGTCCGTTGGCACAGAGTCATCGCTCGCGTCCATCCACTTCGCGAGTGGTAACCTCGCGCTCTCTCGCCGAGTCCGGCTCCAATCGGCTTTGCCCGGTAGGCCTCGTGTGAAACCTGGAGCCGGTGAATTGACTTGAAGGGTCTTAACGCCGCATTCGGCCCCTTTGCAAGCATGGAAATAGAAGGACAGTTGTGGTGTGGAAAGAGAGAACGGCAGACAAGGAGAGGCAACATGGAGGCGTCGGATCTCGCGTGCGCCGCTGTGCGGGCGTCTCTGTTTTTCGTTCGCCCATGTGGCATGAGTGCTGCCCTGTTGCTATCTTCGTCTCCTCTCTTCTCTGTGCCGCTAAAGCCCACCGTGTGCAGCCCGTGTCCTCTATTGAACCAAGCAGTGAAATACGACCAGGGGGGCGGCCGCGTGACCCAGTGGGGCGGTATCGCACATGGAGCCAATTTACTCAGAGGCCGGGGGCCGAATCGCAAAGCCCCCCACCAGCCATGAGTAAATTTTGTTGTTACCAGCATTATCGTCCGCTGTAAAGTGAACGATAACGACTGTGGTGTCACCTTGTCTCAAAGTGAACAGTGTGTACGAGACAGGCCAACCAGATGAATAGACAACAGACGCTAGACAGACAACACACTGCTGGATGAAGGCCTCACACCGTTTGTATGTACGTTGAACTTCTTTTGCACTGTATGTAGCCAACTGTGCTAATCAGAGGTACGTTTAGGTCATTGGGGGGTTGCTAAACCATATTTCACCAAGTTGATCAGCGCAGGTTGGTGAAGGGGGTGAGCAGGATCGTTTTCGGACACCATTCGCGACTGATGTTAGCCGTGGTCGTACAGATGTGTTTCCGCGGGCCGCTGCTTGAAGGTCCCTGGCAGAGGGGCACCGTTGCCTACCTCCACCTCTTGTTGTCCACCTCTCCCATGTGTCTGCTTCCTTGTCGCGCCGCCACGACGTGATTGCATACGCCGCGTGAACGCGCGCAGCCGGGACGGTGCCGCCACTGCGCCACCACCGCCACGGCGCCGCCGCCACGCCAGCGTGTGCACCGCGCGCCTGCCCGTGCACCCCGCCCCCCCGTGCCGTTGCAGAAGGAGGAAGACCCCCCGTGCGCACGGGGGGTGCTGGCAGGCGAGGAGCGCGGCCCGCCGGACGGAGAGGTGGCCGCGAGGCCCCTGCTGGCCGGCCCTGCGCACGCTGCCACGTAAAGGCCCGTTCGCTTATGGGGTGGGGAGGGTGCACGCAGCGGCACGAGAACCCACGGGGGAACATTGGCACGCACGCTGGCCGCCTTGCAGCTTGCAGTGTGTTCCCTCGCCTCCTACCAACTCCCTCACTGCTCTGTGCTGTGCTTGTATGGGTTTTTCCAAGCTGCATTGGTATCATGGATTATTTTTCTCATGTCTAGAAAAACCTCGAATTGGAAATTATGGCTTTGTTAGCAGCTGCGCAGCGAGATTGTGGTTGGCTGTACATGGTCATGTGATCAGCAGGCATGCAACAATTCACCCCCTTACCCTTATTCGCGATTTAGTGAATTGTGATGATTTTAAACCACAAATCAATTTAAGAATCGGTTATTACAATTTTATTCCTCGCCCCCCCATTAACTTAATTGTCATATTTGCATACTATTTAGCCGGGTGTTGGTGGTGGCTACGTATGCCTGTAATCCAGCACTGTGGAGGCGAGGAGGGTTGGTGGATCACACAAATATTGTGAAACTGCGTGGGCGTTGCGGTGCCGTACCCTAGCTCGCCAGGAGAAGGCGGTACAGCAAACATGTGGACTCGATCTGTACGGTCAGTACGGGTTAGAGTGTTGCCCCCTCGCACACGTGGGGTTTCTTCAGGTGCTCTGGTTTCCTGCCACATGTAAAACTCTGCTTAATTGTCTGAAAACACCTGAAGATATAGGGGACCACGGGGCTTGGACAGTTGTTGGCCCGCGTGGTTGCTGCTGCCTTCCTGCTTATCTATGGTTTCTCCTGGCTCCTCTGAGTTGTGCTGCTTTTGAGAGTTAGCGACTACTGGATTATTATATCGTTTATCTACATTGTAAAAAAATCAAGTCTCACCCGCCACATTTGTTGCATGTATTTTGAGCTTGGGAATCCATGTCAATCAGTGAATCGTCACGCCCAGCGTTTCCGTTCCCGACGTCACTGACCAAACCAGCGGCGATTGCAAGTCTGGCCTGGGTTCGGTCCCCGACTCGGGCACCGTTCTGTGCGGAGTTTGTGTGTTCTCTCTCTCCCCCTGTTTCTGCATGGGTTTCCTCTGGGTTCTCCAGTGACAATGTGTGGGTTTTAACCCATACATTGTCACTGGCTTCGTACACGGTGACATTGCCATCAAACTGCGAAAACTTGGCAGGACCCTCCTGAAAAAGAGTATTGAGACTCAGTGAGGCTCTCCATGGTGAACAAGCGTAGTAACAATAGCACTAATAAGTCACTGCTTCATGAAGGTCTTCCGAGGCCACCGCCACCTGGTACCTGCGCATGAGATGATTTTGTCGCTCCGTCTGCGGATGGAAATGTTTAGGTTACTTTTTAAATCTTTCTGTCTTTGTGGAAATCCTTACAATCGGTATGTCCCCCTGAACGTCGTGTTCCCGAGTCCAATGGTCCCTTTGATGATGTTTGCACCGGAGTCCTGAGCTGGGAGTGGACGTGCAGAGATCGCTACGCCCGCACGCCTGATGTTCACTGGTGGCAAAATGAGCCTCGTGTGAAACGCAGCGATTCCAGTGAAAATTAACCGAGACAAACACTGGCAGTGTAACCGGGCTGCTACACAAACCTGAATGGAGAACGGGTGGGGATGATTACCAGTGCCTTTGTGCCAATGGACACAGGAAATAATTGGCATCCAGTTAAATTTTTTCGTCGAAAAGATTGCATCTGAACTGACAATTACCATAAAGGCATAAATGCGAAACTAGACATTGCGTAGAGTGAGAAACCGAAGATAGAAGGAAACCCATAAATGAATTAAGAACCCTCGACTGCGACGCAGGAGGAGACTTATAACAGCGATGGCACCCAGTCCGTTTCTCCCACTTATTTTCTCGCGATGGTCCCACCAGCAGAGTGAATAAGAGTCACGCTCTGGCTGGAGAACTTGACTCTCAACCTGAAGTGCGCGAGTTCCAACCCCTGCCTGGGTTAAACTCGGCTCATCATCCTTGTGGGGATTAATAAAATGAGTATCCGTGTAACAGTTCACCATCCCCGCAGCGATTTGGTGATTTTTTTTTACCGACAATGTGCCACCCACTTCAGTCTACCAGCGATCCAGAAACTATTTTCGCACCTGGCACACCACATCCAGTTTACCACCTCTCACTTGGAATGTGGCTACCGCTATTCACATACCACCTATGCCGAAAAAATGACCTGTGAAATATTCAGTTGGAAATTAATCTTTGGACCCAGAGCCTGATTTCAAAACGTAGAGCAGTGCGTGCGTCTGATTGGCTCATGTTGAGCCGCAGGCCGGGTGTGCTCAGACAAAGGAGTGGAGTTCGATCGCTCCACTGTTCTGTCGCCTTTGTGCTGGGCGGGCTTGGGACACTCACTGCCTTTGCTTGGATGACTCTTGCATGGGAATGCCTTTGAAGCATGAGCATGGCGGTGGGGTGGGGGGTCGGTTGGGTCCTTGAGCCATTGACCTGAAAATGGGCAATCGGTACCAGCCAGGGTGGGAGGTGCTCCCAGGGATTTTCACAAAGCATTTGAGCTCTGTGACACACAGGTGTCTGATAGCAAGGCCACCGTGGTAGCTTTGTATGAGAAAAATATCATTAAAGAAGGATGCCTTAATTTGTTTGATAGAGAATATAATTGTGAAAAAAAGCCACTGTGATATGAAACTGTGCAATATGAACATAGAGGAAGTGCGTATATAAAAAAGATGGTGTGTCAGCCCTCCGCCCATGGTGGACCTTGCCCACCATGGTGGATGCTGGTAGCATTTGCCACTCCCGGTGGGACCAACCACAACCCCCTTAGCTCACGGGCTGTGTGCGCTCGTGTGTGGGTATCGCATGGGCCCTGCATCTGTTTAAGTAAGTTTGCCGTGTGCTTGCTCTGTGCTAAAGAACTAACGCGCGCTCTCTTTCCGCTGTCTGCATGGTTTGCCGGTCGTGACGATGCGCGAGGGTCGCTGAAATTGGTTTTATGTTAAGAGTCAGGTGGTGTTGATTAACTTTGTATTGATGTGAACGGTTAATGTGTTTTCTTTTCATATTCTCATCTATATATTCATTAACGGTTCATTTTAATAATCACACTGATATTAAGGGTTAAAAGAATAATTAAACTGGTAGAAAAATAACCAAGTACAAAATGAGCTGTACGCTTTTTGGCGTCCTCTGGTCTAACACCGATTGAGACGAGGCTCAAAAGAAAGCTGTCTCTGGTATGGACCAGTTTCAAAGACAATGCATATATTATCAGAGTGTTTTTTGTTTGCATTTTGACCACAAGTATTGTGGTTAATGCAGACATGATTCCTTGTAAAAGGTTTCAGTTTGGTGTTTTAACAACTTAACACCTGTTTTGTTTCCATATAAAAGGGGAAAACCGTATTCTCATATTTTGGTACTGGCAAAGGAGGTCGGTCCCATGAAGTACAAAATAATAAGACAAACAATGCCAAATCATTTTTGTAAAATATCAAAACCTTTTGACCATTGCTCACGAGCACAGTTACAATGTGGTGGCTCTGTGTACAGGAGTTCAGACATGCTTGCATGGCAGCACTGCTAAGAGTGTAATTCCCGTGTCGTTGCGTCATTGGTAGCAGAGAGGTTAACGTGACAAATAGAGAATGTGTTTTAAGGCAAGGTCTCTGTGGGAACGTAGAATATTAACGCCCGTCGAGGGCGATGACAGATGCGTACGTGCCGTACACGCGCGCGCTGTGGCTACACTCTGTAAATAATTGTTTTCCCAGCCGTTTAGTGGACACAACTTATGTATGAACTTGGCTGTCTGTTGAGTGTCTCGTGTGAACAAAGTGCCTGGGTAGATCTCTGTGTGTGAGCCAAGGCGGGCCATGACACTGACCTCGCTGTGTCTGCTCTCTCCCCCACCCACCCACTCGTGACCTCCCAATTCCCACGGTGCTTTTCAAACCGTCTCCTCCGTGCCGCAACCTCGCCACTGTCTGACGCCGTCACTCAACATCGCTCAATATCGCCATCACTCAACACCACCAGCATTCAACACCACCATTACTCAACACCATAATCCAACACCACACACCGTAACTAATTACCACGCACCATCGTTCAATCTCTCACTCGAATCCCACCAATCATCACAACTCGACCTGCACCGTAACCACTCCACTCACTTACCATCACCACCCCTGGCGCACTGTCACACCCCACTCTCACCACCACCCCGCTCACCCATCGCCACCCCACTCACCCATCGTCACCCCCTTGCACCATCGCCACCCCGGTGCCCCCTGCAGGAGGCCGTGAGCGTGGGGCGCCGCGGGGCCGGCGTCTCGGAGAGCACGCCACTCGCCGAGATGGCGCGACACCTCCGCAGGAGAATGTACGGCGCGGGAGGCAGCGGTTCGGGAGGAGGGGCAGGAGGAAGAGGCAAGCGCTCGCCGACCTCCAGGTCCGGCATGGCGGCGGCTGTGGCGGCGGCGTCGCTAGACAACGGGCACGTGTTCCTGGTGGATGCAGAGGTCTTGCCGGACGTGACCCAAGTGTGACAACGCGGGGCCCTGTCCATTCACCTCAATCTCCCCCCCCCGCCCCCCCACCTTGGACCCCACCTGGCCACCGTGAGGCCGAGCCTAGCCGCTGGGATGACCACGGCGCCTCGTGCGCCGACCCGAACCTGAGACTGACCGAAACCCCAGAGCGAGTAGCGGCGTCGGTACGCCCTGCTCGTTCCACGGCCTCCACTCCAGCCCTGCTCACTGCCGGCTCTCACAGACTCGAGGCTTGATGACGGAGGGGGCACTACTTAATACCTCTTGCAAGCCTAAAGAAGCCTTTGTTTAACTTCAGTGTTCTGAGTGAGCCGAAACATGTTGGATCTGTCGATGGCCGGTTTGAATTGTCGCTGAGGTCAGACTGGGGAACTGGAGCTGATGCAATTTGTGTTCACTCGCGCAGAACGTTGCCGTCTCTGGTATGGTTCCCAAAAGGCCTTGCTGCCCAAATGCACAGCTCTGCACTGCTGCTCATGCTTTTGTTTGAAAAACGTTTCAACTGTGTCCTCATGTAGCCCACAATGCCTCTGGGATCATATTCATACACCAGCATTCATTTGTAGGGCTAGCCACTTAATGTTTGGGCTGCTTGGGGTCAAGTAAATCAGGTTCCTGAAAGTATGTTGGCAAATAGGGCTCAGTCATTTATGTATGTTGAACTTCTTGTTCACTGTACGTAGCCGACCATGCTAATTGGAGGTGCAGGGGAAGGACAACAAAAACATAAACCAAACAATACTTTTCAGCATTGTCAAATCCACTGCTGGATCCAAGGCCTTCTAAAGTGCCGGTCGTTCTATGGGGCTGGCCGCCGGCCACCGCTACAGGAGGTGTGCAGCGGGGCTGCTTCCCCGTCGGTCAGTCCCGGCCAGACCGTGCGCTCGCTGGCGTTCACGGTTTACAGGGTTCGCTAAGAATTTGCACGCGCGATGTCATTTGTTGTTTGCGAGATATGTGTATACATTTACAACTGAAGTCATCGCCTTTGTGAAAGTGCACTCTTCAATCCTTAAGGCCTTCCTTTTGTAGGCCCCACTTGCCCTTGTGGGTGACATCGCCTCCCCCAAACCCTGCTCCTTTTACCCCTAACAGCGCCTCTCCATGCTCGTCCCGTGTCCTTCGAGCCCCGTTTCCTTCGTCTGAATCTCGAGGCTCGACCCCCCCTGACCCCGATCAGACCCCAGCCCAGCCAATAAACACACGACGGGGAGTCGTGTGCTCTCCGAGGAGCTTCGCTGGAGGCTTGAACCACCAGACCAGACTTCTCCTCCTCGTCAGCTGCACCAGGGCCCCAACTCCCCCTCCTCTAACGAGCTTCCGAGCCCCTCCCCACAGCTCGTAAGCCCCTCCCACACTTGAGTTCCTCCCACCCAGCCTTAGCCCCTCCCACGGATGGGTGACCCATGGCTGTACCTTCTTGCAGCAGCAGCGGCAGCAGATGGACTTTGGGGGTCCCCGAGGAGGCCCCCCGGAACGCGGTGTAGCGAGCGGCGACGTTGAGCCCTCCTGCTCTGCGGCTGTAAGTCTCTTGTGGGTAGACGATGTACGGCACTGCGTGGATAACGCACGCACTCCGCGCGCGTGTGAGTTGAGCAACGGACGTCGGCTGTGGCAGCTTCTTGTGGCCATGTGGTGGAGGGGTGGGGAGAGCAACAGTGGGAGACTTCGTGTCCCCTGGCTGATGTCACGTCTTTGGGATTTTAGTCGTCGGATGTTGAAGGAATACGCCACCAGAAAACCAGATCCAATTGTCTCTTGCATATTCCACTTTGTGGTCTGCAGGAGTGTTCACCTGTTTATTTAAATGACCACTACTGATACTGTCCAGGTACCGAGGCTGCATTGTCCGGACTGTCTGACATGGATTTGACGTTTTGTTCATGAGAAAGAAGACGTTCGAGTCTATGGGCAGGCACGTGATTCTTAGGCTGTAGCGACACCGCTGCGCTGACGAATTGGAACGTGCGGCGTCACGTCGCTGCGACGTCTCACAAGAGTGCTGTCGTCAATTGGAGTGCCTCGCCATCAATGGGCGGCACCTCGTCTCATGTGATAGCGCTTCAAATGCAGCCCAGGGTGTCAGCACCTGGTTGTGTGAACTAAACGTAAAGCAACAGCGCTTTATTATTACTTCAGTAACGTCCTTCAATGGACGTCACTTTGCCATATATTGAAATGCCACATTTCTCGTGAGTAATGCTTTAACAGGGTTATATTTAATTTCAATGGCGAAATATAACTTTACACTTTTTATTGTTAATGTATTACGGTTTATGTTCGCCGTTGTCTTATCTGTGACACGCTGCACTGATTTTACTTACCTTCAGGAATGAACCCAGCCCCAGTAGAATTTGCGGGAATGTCTGCGCCAGATTTTATAGAACGGCCCGTGACAGGTTTTGCAAACAGTCCACTTGTGGCTAAACGAGGGACTCGACTGGGAGCACGCTCGGCACCCCTTACTGGCAGACGGATGCCCGATGATTCTCGGCTCGGTGCTGAGTCACCATGTGCCACATAGGGACAGCTGTCACTGGAGGTGCCCTTTCAAATAATTTAGATGAGACAAGATGCAAGTCTGGACATCTATGAAAAAAAGCTTCATAGCTCATCGGATTCTTCTAGGATAAATAACGATTCTGAATTCTGTAGCTTGTAAAACGCTCGCTTGAAACGCCCCGGCCAAACGAAGGGGCGGCTCCATCACTAACAACGCCTCGTCAGCGTCAAACTGGAAGCGGTGTGGGGCTTTGGCCCTAGGACCGGCGTCGCTTCAACTCCCGTCGCGCCAACTCTCGTGGTTGGGGGTTTCCACAGCCGCCTCTAGGAAGGGGAAGCGTTTTGGTTTTTCGCCTCTGATCTGTGACGCCCCCCCCCCCCCCCGTGTCATTTGTGCGGCCCGGTGGTGTCGCAGTGCCTCCCTGATGCACGTCGCTTTGTCGCAGTGGCACCGTGACGAGGGTTGCCACCCCTACGGTACAAACAACCAGGACATGTCCTGGGAAGCAGAAGAGAATATCGCCCAGCACTGCAATCGGGCGTTGTCTTGAGTGGTGTATCGCGAGTTTCTTTACGCAACAAACTAAATCCTAAGATAACCAGGACCGGTGGCAACCCTAGACGCGGTACCTGAGGTATCCGGTAGCACTCGAGTCGTGAGTAGTCCCCTCCGTGTACGAACATCCGCCTTGCGGGAATTCGTGAGCATTACACAGAACTCGCACACAGAGCCACCCACTCTGCCAGAGTGAGACTGCCTAGTCACAAACACCCTGAACCGCCACAGTCCCTGACGAAACCACACACCGGCCCCCTCTTCATATGCCATAGCCACGACCAAATCACCCAGAATGTGCCCGGTCTCGCCAGATTTTTGGAAGCTAGGCAAAAATAAGCCCGGTTTTTAACTTAGGGGAGAGACTCCTTTTGAATGCTAGCTGTTGCAGGCTTGGGCTGTCAGGTGGCCAAGATACACCAGTACACCAATACGTTCTTAAATCTATCTGTGCAGAGCTTTGGGAGTTTCATAAGCATGGACCTTCTCTGGGTTATCCTTTTCTCCTACCGCATGAAATCGAACGTTGCCAAACAGAAGTGGACAAACATCACTATGTAGCAGCAGTCGCCTGAAAGTCACAAAGACCTTTCCGTTTTTGCCCGTACAAGCAGTCCTGACGTGTGTTTAATTCGCATGCTCGTTGCGTTGCACCCCCCGCTCCATTCCACATGAGAAGCCTCAAAACACCGGGAGGAGAACCGCCTTCATATGCGGCATGAGGCGCCTAGCAGCATTGCGTTGAGCACACACGTGCAGTCTGATCACTGGATCATGTGGAGCCCATTTGTGAATCCAGTGCGGGATGAGCCCCCCCCCCCCACACGCTGTGGCGGTTGAGTGTATTTGACCATACTTCACCATGTTGCTCGGTGTGGATTGATGAAGGCGGGAAACATAGACGTGGGAGCATAGACGTACGATACAAGTGAATTTTACACGTATGTTTTCGTGACCAATATCCATAATAGAGGGTGTTTTGGGTTAGATCGCGTAAATATAAATGTGTCGTTAAAACCGCCACCGCCTGACACATTCAATTAGTAAGGTTAAAACCCGCAACATTTACAATGGATTTACTCTCCAACACACCAGTGCGTTGTACTAGTAACGACTTGACATGTTTTGTTTACGTGACAAACCTAATTGGCTGTCGGTTTAACGACACATGTATGCGATCCAACCCAAAACAACCTCTTGGACAACAGTGAATGTTGCTGTACTACTGTCTGCTGCCCACCACGTATTTCTGCAGCAGCCTATAACAACTGTTTATGCTCACAGTAACCCATCCAAGCACTATCCAGGGTCAACCCTCCAGCTTCAGAGGTCTGATGAGATCGGGCGCATTGTCGGTAATTTGCTTGTGGGCAATTCAAATTTTGAGAATATGAACAAAATGCAGCCTGGGATCCAAACATTTGCAGCCTACAGCAGAGAAATCATACCCTTCCTGCAAAAGTGTGTAGACAGTTGAGTGTGGAATGTTCTGAAGTGTCGGTGTTTGCCATGGCTCGTCATGGACCCATGTTGATGCTGTTCTCTCTTGTATGGATTTCTGTTCTCCCATCTTCCCTTCAGCCTCATGGACGACGTTTGCATGCGTCCCTCTTCCTGCTGTGGTCTCTTCTGAGCGATGGGTGCCAGCTGGAGCTAAACACCGGCCTCTTTCTTGCATCGCTCATTCCCTCATCTTTACATCCTTCCGCTCTTGTCTGTCCATCGGCTCACCTCCTTGGTATCTTCTTTGTCTCGATTTAAAGCTTTCGTGACTGCAGGGATTCATATTCTTGGTTCTTTCGGTAAAGTCACGTAGAAGGGAAATAATAAAATAAAACTATTAAATTCTACGTGACTTTACCGAAAGAACCAAGAATATATTTTTGTCGTTTCAGTCTATGACATCCGGGGCTTAATGTCTCACTAAATATGTTCTGGGTTGCTTGTCGGCTGGAGTAGGTGGCATTTGAATAGTAGCCAATAACAGGCAAGTAGCGAGAGGTATTCTGGATGTGGTGCGCCGTAGTTTGGTAGCGGCGTTGTTGGCGGCTGGGTGCGATGCCTCCCAAACGCCACAGCCAAACAACGTGTGCCCGGGACGGCGCTCGTCTCTTTTGGCACCCCCGAGCTGGTCTTGTTAATTCCACATTATTTTGGCTGAGACATCGCAACGTGATATTCAACTTTTGTAATTGTGAGTCACGCCGCCTGGACTGTGTCAGCTGCCCGATAGAATGTCCGTGTGTTAGACCAATCGTGAACAGGTGTGTCCTGTCGCAAGGCGGCATGGTTGTGCTCTCTGATCGAGCTCCAGGATGCCTGCGTGTGAGGACGTTGGGACTCGTTTTGTTTACCCCAAAGTCCACACCTGACGCTGCTCACACCGGGGTACTCCAGGTTGTACCTCCTGTGTTGTACCAGCGCTCATCACAAATATTCATGCTCCTGTCTTTGAAGCCGCGCTTGAATCTGCGTGATGCGTTCCATTTTCTGTGCGTACGTAGACCTCCGATTCGCACGGTTGGCTACGTACGGCGAGAAAGAAGTTTAACGTACATACAGGCACGTTGTTTGACATTGTTGCGCCGTCTCCTGAGTCTCAGAGTTGTTCAGCCGAATCCACACCTGGGCGATAATTTGCGCAACGCTGTTGCATGCAACTAAATCGCTTGTATGTGGAAAAGTGGCGACGGACTCACTTTCCAGCATCGATCCGCTCGGCGATCCGGAGTGACCTCTTTCATCACGTGCTCCACGTTCGTGAACTCTGGTTGCCGTTGTTTTCTTGTTGCGTAATCTGTTGTTGCCCAACTACAGCAGTGCTCACTCGCATATGGACAGATCCCATTGTTTTTAAAACCCTCTCTGCGTTGTTGTTGATTTCCTGCCGAGGCGAAGTGGCTTACCTTCTTCCTTTGCACCTGATATATATTTATACATGTACATCCCTTCCCCCCCCCCCCCCCCCCCAAAAAAAAAACCTGTTCTAAATATCGTTAGCATTATTTTATTTATATGTTCAAAGCACGTGTACAAGGAGCTCTATGTGTAACAAATTGCACTGGCGTAGCGGGTTTGTGGTACTTTTGTATTCGTTATACAATAAGCAATACAATCAAAACATGTTCCCAAAGCCAAAGACTTCAGGAATCCTTCAAAGTGAAAGTCCACTGTTGAACTGTCCTTGTGGCGCATCATCTGTTTAGTTCTACCCCAGCTCTAGTTTTTACAAAATGGAAATGTCTTGTGTACAAGAATTAAGAGACTTGGTCCACGATATGAAATAATTGTATAAGTTTGTTAGTGAAAGTCCATTGAATGTTGATTACTTTTACCCCGTGCACATGCGTATATATTTTATATCTGTTCTGCGATAACTTGAAAATAATGCAATAAAATGTCAAACTGTTGACAGATGCGAATGTTTGGACTCCGCTATTGGGCATGTGACCGTTCACCACCAGTGACATTGATACATGTGTAGTGGGTTCCGAAGACACTTCGGATAGGTAACTTCTTTATTATATACAGCACTCCAACAGTCCTCCTCATACACCGTTCAGCCTAGGGACACAGCCTACTCCTAGCGTGCCTTGACACTGGCAACGCTCTCGGGTCCACGCCTATAATTACCTAGGGGAGGCTACCCTGACCCGACCCAGCCAAGGTGCGGGTCTAGACTCTGGCTTCCTCGGACCTCGCCCTCACAAGGGCGCGGGGCCGGGAGTCCCAGAGTCCCACCACTGGCCCAGAGTCCCACCACTGGCCCAGAGTCCCACCACTGGCCCAGAGTCCCACCACTGGCCAAGAGTCCCACCACTGGCCCAGAGTCCCACCACTGGCCCAGAGTCCCACCACTGGCCCAGAGTCCCACCACTGGCCCAGAGTCCCACCACTGGCCCGCACAGCGTCCCGGCCCTGACAAGGACAGCGGGTCGAGGGGGTCCAGGGTCCTATCTAGTTGCTGCCGGTCTACGGCTTCGGTCTTCAACTGGTTCCAGATTGGGTGGGGAGGTCCCCTTTTATGCCCCTTGCCCATTGAGGGGTGGGGCTGCGAGGGATCGTAGACCCCCCCGCAGCCCCCCCCCCCCCCGTTGGGGCGCCAAGGGGCTTAGCTGTCTGGGGATCCTAAGCCCCCAGCAGCCCCCAGCAGCCCCTTCCCTCTTGGGCTGGCGCTGCAGCCCCTCCCCTGACGGTACGAGGTACCGTTCCATCTATGGTGCTACATTACCCCCCTCTTCGTAGCACCCAGCCGACCCGGCTGGCAACAGTAAACCGGAGGATGAACCAATGAAGTGTATGTGTGCCCTATTGTGAGAACGCGAGTTACAAAAATAACCGCACGTGAACCCTTATAAATACCCCAGCCACCTGTACAGGGGAATACCAGAACATATATACAGTGTACATGAAGACTTTGTCAACAAGGTGCAAGGTGAGTGGGTGGCGTGGGGGAAAGGTTCGTGGTGGTTCAAGAAAATATCCGGCCCATCCGGAGCAGAAGGGGCCTGTGGAGGCGGGACGCATGGGACGGCCGGTGACCCGCCGACCCCCGAATCCGCTGGCACAGGCGGCTGGGATAGCTTTACTCCCGTGGCTCTTGAGGATGGAACGACATGACTGGGCTGAGGGTTAGACTCTCCTGGCACCTCCCCCGACTCGTCGGACACAACATGTTCTCGGCCCATGTGCGGTGGCATGGAGGTTGTGAGGAGGAGTGAAACGTTTGAGGCGCGAGGGGTGCACATACCACGAGCGAGGTCGGAGCACGCGGACAATTTCGACGGGACCCTTCCAGGGTTTAAGCAACTTAGAAGACGTCGCCAGGTGCACCTGAGGACAATGAAGCCAAGTCCGGTCTCCTTCAACCCATGTGTGGCGAGACGTACGGAGTCCCCGCAGGCGCTCGTTAGCCAGTTGGCGCGCCTCTGAGTTAGATTTTGCGGCCTCCCGGGACTCCATCAAGCGGCCAGCGTTGTCGCGGACATGTGTGTGGCTCTAGTAAGCTCCTGTACTGTTTGTGTGGCTGTGGTAAGCTTCTGTACTGTGTGTGTGGCTCTGGTAAACTTCTGTACTGTTTGTGGCTCTAGTAAGCTCCTGTACTGTTTGTGTGGCTCTGGTAAGCTTCTGTACTGTGTGTGTGGCTCTGGTAAACTTCTGTACTGTGTGTGTGGCTCTGGTAAGCTCCTGTACTGTGTGTGTGGTCTGGTAAAGTCCTGTACTGTGTGTGTGGCTCTAGTAAGCTCCTGTACTGTGTGTGTGGCTCTGGTAAACTCCTGTACTGTGTGTGTGGCTCTGGTAAGCTCCTGTACTGTGTGTGTGGCTCTGGTAAGCTCCTGTACTGTGTGTGGGGCTCTGGTAAACTTCTGTACTGTGTGTGTGGCTCTGGTAAGCTCCTGTACTGTGCCTGGCTCTGGTAAACTCCTGTACTGTGTGGCTCTGGTAAACTCCTGTACTGTGTGGGGCTCTGGTTAACTCCTGTACTGTGTGTGTGTGGCTCTGGTAAGCTCCTGTACTGTGTGTGGCTCTGATAAGCTCCTGTACTGTGTGTGTGGCTCTGGTAAACTCCTGTACTGTGTGTGGCTCTGGTAAACTCCTGTACTGTGTGTGTGGCTTTGGTTAACTCCTGTACTGTGTGTGTGGCTCTGGTAAGCTCCTGTACTGTGTGTGTGGCTCTGATAAGCTCCTGTACTGTGTGTGTGGCTCTGGTAAATTCCTGTACTGTGTGTGGCTCTGGTAAACTCCTGTACTGTGTGTGTGGCTCTGGTAAGCTCCTGTACTGTTTGTGTGGCTCAGGTAAGCTCCTGTACTGTGTTTGGATCTGGTAAGCTCCTGTACTGTGTGTGGCTCTGGTAAACTCCTCTACTGTGTGGCTCTGGTAAACTCCTGTACTGTGTGTGGCTCTGGTAAGCTCCTGTACTGTGTGTGTGGCTCTGGTAAGCTCCTGTACTGTGTGTTGCTCTGGTAAGCTCCTGTACTGTGTGTGGCTCTGGTAAGCTCCTGTACTGTGTGTGTGGCTCTGGTAAACTCCTGTACTGTGTGTGTGGCTCTGGTAAACTCCTGTACTGTGTATGTGGCTCTGATAAACTCCTGTACAGTGTGTGTGGCTCTGGCAAGCTCCTGTACTGTGTTTGTGTGTCTCTGGTAAGCTCCTGTACTGTGTGTGGCTCTGGTAAGCTCCTATACTGTGTGTGTGGCTCTGGTTAACTCCTGTACTGTGTGTGTGTGGCTCTGGTAAGCTCCTGTACTGTGTGTGGCTCTGGTAAGCTCCTGTACTGTGTGTGGCTCTGGTAAGCTCCTGTACTGTGTGTGCGGCTCTGGTAAGCTCCTGTACTGTGTGTGTGGCTCTGGTAAGCTCCTGTACTGTGTGTGGCTCTGGTAAGCTTCTGTACTGTGTGTGTGTCTGGTAAGCTCCTGTACTGTGTGTGTTGCTCTGGTAAGCTCCTGTACTGTATATGTGTGTCTGGTAAGCTCCTGTACTGTGTGTGGCTCTGGTAAGCTCCTGTACTGTGTGTGTGTGGCTCTGGTAAACTCCTGTACTGTGTGTGTGTGGCTCTGGTAAACTCCTGTACTGTGTATGTGGCTCTGGTAAACTCCTGTACTGTGTGTGGCTCTGGTAAGCTCCTGTACTGTGTGTGCGGCTCTGGTAAGCCCCTGTACTGTGTTTGTGGCTCTGGTAAGCTCCTGTATTGTGTTGCTCTGGTAAGCTTCTGTACTGTGTGTGTCTGGTAAGCTCCTGTACTGTATGTTGCTCTGGTAAGCTCCTGTACTGTATGTGTGTGTCTGGTAAGCTCTTGTACTGTGTGTGGCTCTGGTAAGCTCCTGTATTGTGTGTGTCTGGTAAGCTTCTGTACTGTGTGTGGCTCTGGTAAGCTCCTGTACTGTGTGTGTGTGGCTCTGGTAAGCTCCTGTACTGTATGTGTGGCTCTGGTAAGCTCCAGTACTGTGTGTGGGTCTCTGGTAAGCTCCTGTACTGTGTGTCTCTGGTAAGCCCCTGTACTGTGTGTGTTTCTCTGGTAAACTCCTGTACTGTGTGTGTGGCTTTGGTAAGCTCCTGTACTGTACTGTGTGTCTCCGGTAAACTCCTGTACTGTGTGCGTGGCTCTGGTAAGCTCCTGTACTGTGTGTGGCTCTGGTAAGCTCTTGTACTGTGTGACTTTGGTAAGCACCTGTACTGTGTGTGGCTCTGGTAAGCTCCTGTACTGTGTGTTGCTCTGGTAAGCTCCTGTACTGTGTATGTTGCTCTGGTAAGCTCCTGTACTGTGTTTGTGTGTGTTTCTGGTAATTTCCTGTACTGTGTGTGGCTTTGGTAAGCTCTTGTACTGTGTGTGGCACTGGTAAGCTCCTGTACTGTGTGTGGCTCTGGTAAGCTCCTGTACTGTGTGGCTCTGGTAAGCTCCTGTACTGTGTGTGTTTGGTAAGCTCCTATACTGTGCGGGTTGCTCTGGTAAGCTCCTGTACTGTAAGTGTGTGTCTGGTAAGCTCCTGTACTGTGTGTGCGGCTCTGGTAAGCTCCTCTACTGTGTGTGACTCTGGTAAGCTTCTGTACTGTGTGTCTGGTAAGCTCCTGTACTGTGTGTTGCTCTGGTAAGCTCCTGTACTGTATGTGTGTCTGGTAAGCTCCTGTACTGTGTGTGGCTCTGGTAAGCTCCTGTACTGTGTGTGGCTCTGGTAAGCTCCTGTACTGGGTGTGCGTTTCTGGTAAGCTTCTGTACTGTGTGTGGCTCTGGTAAGCTCCTGTACTGTGTGTGTGGCTCTGGTAAGCTCCAGTACTGTGTGTGTCTGGTAAGCTCCTGTACTGTAAGTGTGTGTCTGGTAAGCTCCTGTACTGTGTGTGCGGCTCTGGTAAGCTCCTGTACTGTGTGTGTAGCTCTGATAAGCTCCTGTACTGTGTGTGGCTTTGGTAAGCTTCTGTACTGTGTGTCTGGTAAGCTCCTGTACTGTGTTGCTCTGGTAAGCTCCTGTACTGTATGTGTGTCTGGTAAGCTCCTGTACTGTGTGTGGCTCTGGTAAGCTCCTGTACTGTGTGTGGCTCTGGTAAGCTCCTGTACTGGGTGTGCGTTTCTGGTAAGCTTCTGTACTGTGTGTGGCTCTGGTAAGCTCCTGTACTGTGTGTGTGTGGCTCTGGAAAGCCCCAGTACTGTGTGTGTTGCTCTGGTAAGCTCCAGTACTGTATGTGGGTCTCTGGTAAGCTCCTGTACTGTGTGTGTTTGGTAAGCTCCTGTACTATGTGTCTCTGGTAAGCCCCTGTACTGTGTGTTTCTCTGGTAAACTCCTGTTCTGTGTGTGGCTTTGGTAAACTCCTGTACTGTACTGTGTGTTGCTCTGGTAAGCTCCTGTACTGTGTGCCTCTGGTAAACTTGTGCACTGTGTGTGTGGCTCTGGTAAGCTCCTGTACTGTGTGTGTGGCTCTGGTAAGCTTCAGTACTGTGTGTCTGGTAAGCTCCTGTACTGTGCGTGTTGCTCTGGTTAGCTCCTGTACTGTAAATGTGTGTCTGGTAAGCTCCTGTACTGTGTGTGCGGCTCTGGTAAGCTCCTGTACTGTGTGTGTAGCTCTGGTAAGCTCCTGTACTGTGTGTGGCTCTGGTAAGCTTCTGTACTGTGTGTCTGGTAAGCTCCTGTACTGTGTTGCTCTGGTAAGCTCCTGTACTGTATGTGTGTGTCTGGTAAGCTCCTGTACTGTGGCTCTGGTAAGCTCCTTGACTGTGTGTGGCTCTGGTAAGCTCCTGTACTGGGTGTGCGTTTCTGGTAAGCTTCTGTACTGTGTGTGGCTCTGGTAAGCTCCTGTACTGTGTGTGTGTGGCTCTGGTAAGCTCCAGTACTGTGTGTGTTGCTCTGGTAAGCTCCAGTACTGTATGTGGGTCTCTGGTAAGCTCCTGTGCTGTGTGTGTCTGGTAAGCTCCTGTACTATGTGTCTCTGGTAAGCCCCTGTACTGTGTGTTTCTCTGGTAAACTCCTGTTCTGTGTGTGGCTTTGGTAAACTCCTGTACTGTACTGTGTGTGGCTCTGGTAAGCTCCTGTACTGTGTGTGGCTCTGGTAAGCTCCTGTACTGTGTGTGTTGCTCTGGTAAGCCCTTGTACTGTGTGTGGCTCTGGTAAGCTCCTGTACTGTGTGTGTGTGGCTCTGGTAAACTCCTGTACTGTGTGTGTGTGTGGCTCTGGTAAACTCCTGTACTGTGTGTGGCTCTGATAAGCTCCTGTACTGTGTGTGCGCCTCTGGTAAGCTCCTGTACTGTGTGTGTCTCTGGTAAGCTCCTGTACTGTGTGTTGCTCTGGTAAGCCCCTGTACTGTGTGTGGCTCTGGTAAGCTCCTGTACTGTGTTGCTCTGGTAAGCTTCTGTACTGTGTGTTGCTCTGGTAAGCTCCTGTACTGTGTGTTGCTCTGGTAAGCTCCTGTACTGTGTGTGGCTCTGGTAAGCTTCTGTACTGTGTGTGTCTCTGGTAAGCTCCAGTACTGTTTTTGTGTCTCTGGTAAGCTCCTGTACTGTGTGTCTCTGGTAAGCTCCTGTACTGTGTGTGTAGCTCTGGTAAGCTTCAGTGCTGTGTGTCTCTGGTAAGCTCCTGTACTGTGTGTGGCTATGGTAAGCTTCTGTACTGTGTGGCTCTGGTAAGCTCCTGTACTGTGTCTCTGGTAAGCTCCTGTACTATGTGTGTGTCTCTGGTAAGCTCCTGTACTGTGTGTTGCTGGGTTTGGTAAGCTCCTGTACTGTTTCGATTTAAAGCTTTCGTGACTGCAATGATTCATCTTCTTTGGTTCTTTCGGTAAAGTCACGTAGAATGAGAATTAAATAATAAATTGATAAAATAAAATAACACAATAATATTCTCACGACGTTTCGGCCACAACACAAGCGGCCTTCATCAGGTGAAGGGGCGAGACTGTCTGGTAGGACAGCGCTGGAGTGAGAGAGCCACGTTCAGATCACGGCTTTTAAGCTGTGTGAGAGGAACAAAGACGGAGGTTCTTTGCAAACCAACCGGCTACCATGAGAGATTCGTTCATGAGGCCATTCACATATACAAGCACAGAGACAATTTCAACCGAGAAGATGGATTCAGGCTTAGTAACCACTGGAAAGATGTGTTAAATCATTTCTGTTCTTAATTAATTGTATTTTTACGATGACCTTCAGACCGCAGCTCTTTCGCCAGCATTGCCTCTTAATACCTCTCACACCACGGTTAATGGTATAGTTTTACAACATGGAGTATACTAGGGCCTCGCAGCTGTCTCTCTCCCCCTCCTCTGTTCCGACTATGGACGAACTCGTCCGTCTGAACGGGGCCCGTAGCTATCCGTGGTGCTGAAATTTGAGGGCTCTTTGTTCCTCTCACACAGCTTAAAAGCCGTGATCTGAACGTGGCTCTCTCACTCCAGCGCTGTCCTACCAGACAGTCTCGCCCCTTCACCTGATGAAGGCCGCTTGTGTTGTGGCCGAAACGTCGTGAGAATATTATTGTGTTATTTTATTTGATCAATTTATTATTTTTATTCTCATTCTACGTGACTTTACTCCTGTACTGTGTGTGTTGCTCTGCTAAGCTCCTGTACTGTGTCTTGCTGGATTTGGTGAGTGTGCGCGCCTTCTCATCGTTTGCACAGGCAGTGTTGGGGCTCGTTTATCGCCATGCGTGGGCAGAGGAAAACTGTCCCCACAGTTAGACAAGGGACGTCTCTGGTGATGCTCTCTCCTGTTGCTGTTTTTGTGGCAGTGGTGCACAAACGCAACTAACAAAAAAAACCTCCACACTTTGAACTATTGCTACATTGTGACCCTAAAATAAAATATGAGAGGCAATCATTGAAAGGACGATGAGTTGAGTTGTGGCCAGCGAAATGGCCCTTCTACAGAGCACATATGAACAAGGATCATTGCCCGAAACGTCACCTTTTACATGTCATGTTTTTAATTTTTTACGGCGATGTCGTCGATGAATGCGTTGCGCCCCACGTTGATCGGCGATCGGCGATCAACGTGGCTCATGCCATGCTGGTGATGCCTAACAAGGATGAAACCGGTGTACAGTTGTCTCCTTGACGAATGCCGCAGCCGTCCAAAAATTACGAGGCGACAACTGTGACTGTTTTGAGTTGGCGGCTCGAGCGGTGGCGCGTGGCGATGATGCCGCGTGGCGGTGATGCCGCGTGGCGTGCCGGGCAGCATGGGAAGACTGCGGTCGTTGTCACCCCGCTGGGTCACCCCGGAGAGCCTCGCTCGGTCACAAAGCTCGCTTATAAGAGGGTCCTGCCACCTCTTCGGAGTAGGGGATGATGCTGCTGCTCCTGCTGTTACGGCTGCTGTGTGATTCCAAGTGAATTATTTGCAGGTAATGTTTCAGCACTGGGTTGTTTGATTCAATATCGGTTACAATGTTTCGTTAATTTAGCTATGGGAGGAAACCGGGACACCCGGATGAAACCCTTGCAGAACAGAGGGAGAGAATACAAACTCCGCACAGAGTGGCGTCTACGTGAGAAACTGAATCCAGGTGCTTGCTGCTGCTGTGTGGCGTGGACTGTTACCACAGCGCCACAACCCTGCCGCACAAATTATGACTTACGGTCACACTCGTGACTTGTGCTGCCTAGAAATCACCTTTTATATTTGGTGTTTTAACTAACAGCTGCCGGGTCTTCTGTCCCGTTTCCGTAATCTGACATGATTGTTTCCACCGCAGCGTTTTTGTTCACGTACCATAGCGGAGTTCATGACCACCTGAGCCGGATAAACTTTGGCAGCATTGATTTTTTTCACACAGTATTTCCAATAAAAGTGAATTGAGAGGTTTTCTGGAAGAAAAACAAAACAACCCACATGTATGTATTGTTACATAACTAGAGCTGGGAGGATTAGTCATTTTAGTCAACTAAGAGATTAAAGATTCGAATTGACTACTTTTTCAGCGGTGGATTACTCGGGCCCCCACAAGCTACAGCCTCCCGAAGTGGAGAAACCCCCTGTCGAGGCACGCCCAGCGTGAGGCGGCCAATTTACGCCGATGACATCAACAAGCCCCGCTCGTCACCACCACCAAGCCCTGTCCATCGCCCAGTGGCACACGTGACAATGGAGGTCAGAATCTTGTTTGCAAGTAATCGATTAGTTGAACGATCGAAGAGCCCAGCTTTAGTCACGGCCCACACTGGCTTTCATTGAAACCCTTGACGACGCACGCGTGATCGTTGTGAGTGTATTGTGCACCCACGGATGGCCACACAGCAAACTTAACCATTCACACATTCCATTCACTCAGTCCTCCTACTCTCAACAAGACCCTCATTCCTCCAAGGAGTTGTGGGTTATCAAGTTTATCCCTTCAAGACACCCTTAAATCAACACAACGGTATACGACAACTAAAACCGATACTCAACTTCGAGCACCTTGTGGATTATCTTTCAAACGTATCCCCATCATTTTCCACTCCCCAACTCTCCCATTGTGGCGTTGTTTTTGTCCCCCACCCCACCCCCGACCTCCCCGATCATCTGCCGGCGCCGACGCTCAGTTCTGGCGGCTACGCCGGAGATTGCGCCCAGCGGTGGGGATTTCGTCCTTGTAGACACTGTAGTTCTTCATCACCGTGTCGATCCAGGGCAAATAGCGTGAGACGCGGGCGTAGATCCCGAACTTGCCCTTGCGATTGCAGCCCTCGCCCCAGCTGATGATGCCGGTAGAGAACCACGTGTTGGCGTAGGGCGTGACATGGGGGCCACCGCTGTCACCCTGGCATGCGTCCGTCTTCGAGTCGCTGTAGCCGGCGCAAAACATGTTCTTGGTGATGGTGTAGCTGCTCGATTCCTTGCACCGTGCCATGTCCTGGTACGGCACAAAGGACGTCTGCAGCACTTTGGCCTGTGCACGGGGATGGGCGGGGATGCGCAACCAAACATAAATCGGCGAAAAAAGAATCGCATTACAGAAGTATTAAAAAATAATGGACAAACACAAGTCAATATTAAATAAAATGCATTTCTTGAAAGCTGATTCGGCCAAATATGAACATGCATTCAGGGCCATTATGTGTATAGACGAGGACATGTGAATCATTTGGCGGGACCCTGGGGTCCCGCAAAAATCAGGTCAATAATAATTATTTTTCAGTCCACCCACTCGTGATCCCGACAGCAACGCGCCGCCCGCCCAGACTCGTGCCAACAAGCGCCAGCAGGCGGCGATCAACACGATGGGCGCCACCCCACCGGCCAAACGCAAGCCCGGGGGGCGTCCGCCGTAGTCGCATGCGGCGACGACGCCCTCCGGTCAGCCGTCGATCCTCAGCTTCTTTGCCAAGGCGAGCCCGCTCCCGCAGTGAATTGAACGTGTTTATGTAATTTTTCAACTTTTTACGAACCTTAGTGCCCCGAGTAGCTCTCGACGAGGCCAATCGATTGACACTAGTTTTGTTGTCGGTAAGGCAAGACTCGTGTCGCTACGCGGTTTTTCCCACCCCGGGGCAGTGATGGGACCCGGGGTCCCGCCAATTGCTTCATGTGTCAAATGGGTGGGTGGAAGGTGGAGATGGGTGGGAAGAGGTCACGGTACCTTTAACCCGCGCTCACGCAGGTAACCCCAGCCGCTGATGCGAGCCAGCTCCTCCTTGAGCACATTGTCCGCAAAGTCCGGCTCGGGCAGGCAGGCGGGCAGCACGTACTTGTTGAACTTTATGGGCTCGCTCATCTGCAGCAGCGCAATGTCATTGTCGTAGGTGGCGTTGTTAAAGCGGTTGTGCATCACGATCTGCTTGATGGATATCGTCTGCTCCGTGGGCTCGGACACCGTGCGGTTGTGCTCACCTAGGGACGGGGAGGGAGAAGGGTGGGGGGGCATGTAAGCAGCCAATTGGACGATGTGGTGCTGCGGTTCCAGACCTCTTGCATGGCGGTCCCTGGTCAAGACCGCTGCCAACATTACAGCCCAACGTCGGCAACTCCCCAAGCCGCCGGCGTGCCCAAGCAATCCTACGGTGCGACCACGCCGCCGAATTTCATCGCTCCACCTCCATGCGCGGACGCCCTCGCTGGACGCGCCCCATTTGTCCTCGTTGACGGCTTCCACTCCTTCGTAATTACTGACCGTCCGCCATCACCCCCTTGTCGTGATTGGCCCTGGCCCACTGACATTCCTTAGAAGTTGCGAGTGAAGCCACTGAACCTGCCCTTGGTTTGGACGAGACGCGATGCAGGGCGACTCACCGACGATGACGATGTCAGGCTCAGACGGGATGCAGTGGGCGGCCGTCAGGACCCACTCCCGGCTGAGGATGGTTCCGCCACAAAAGCCTTCACCCTTCTTGTCCAACAGCAGAACCTGGGCACAGAGGCGACGGCGAGACGATGAGGGAGCCTCGACCCCATGGGCTGTGCCAGAACGCTTGGCAAGGTCACGTGATGCAGGGCCCTTTTGTTCCCTAGTTTGTAAATTGAGCGTCTTGAATTTTATCCAGCAGATCGGTGGTGAGTTAAAATTTTAGTTGGGGGTTAACTCAACTCCATCATCCCTCTAGGGTTGATAAAAGGAGTACCAAATTTCGATATAAAGCTTTCCTGACTGCAGGGATTCATATTCTTGGTTCTTTCGGTAAAGTCACGTAGAAGGGAAATAATAAATAATAAAAATAAACAACATAATTCTCACGACGTTTCGGCCACAACACAAGCAGCCGTCCTCAGGTGAAAAAACAGAGCTGTCGGAAAGACAGCGTGACAATGAACACTGCTAAGCTTCGCAGCATATTTTTAAGCTGGGTGGAAGGAGCAGAGCGCCTTGACAAAGGAGTTTACATCTGAATAGAGGAATTTAGCATATTGACGCTAAAGAACTGCAATTACCACTACTACCATACAATAAACCGATGTGAAAAAAAATATAAACTACATAAATATAATAAATGTACTCAATGTACTTTCCAATAAGCTGAGCTATTCACATTAAGTAACTGGGTATACACTACACTATATAATGACTACCATATAGTGAACCGATAAAAAACTAAAATCTAAACTACATCAATATAATCAATATACTCTCCAATAAGCTGAGTTTTACATATCAGCAGAGGAATTAAGCATATTGACGCTAAGCAACTGCAACTACCCTACTACTAACAACAAGTCATTATACATTACAATTTTACGTCGCAAAAAAATAAAATATGCCTCCAACTAAACTTTTTTATACATCACACGACTATACCCCGTCATATCCACTGCCATAGACAAACCCCAACATTTAATTATACACTGTGTTACTACTATACACTACCTTATACCTTAGACTATACATTGCAATATTACACTATGTATTATTCTACAAACCCTACTGTATACCATACTGCTGTATATTCACTCTACAATTACGATACTATATATTGCCTTATACATTATATAAAACATTATACTATTTTTCTGTTTATTATTATTATACAATCTGCTATACACCATATCACTGACCGTCGCATGTAATGGGAGAGTGGTAGCAGGAAACTTGTAGCGGAGCAAAGACTGCGATCCGTGAGGAGAATACAAAATATTTCTATTCAATGCCAGCGAATGGACTGCTGTCTGAAAGTCACCGTAAACGTGAACACAATCACTCAAGACCCGAAATGGTTTATCATCTTCTCGGTTGAAATTGTCTCTGTGTTTGTATATGTGGATAGCCTCATGAACGAATCTCTCATGGTAGCCGGATGGCTTGCAGAGAACCTCTGTCTTGGAGAAGTCAATGTCATGTCAGCCCACTGAATTATAACAATGGTCTGCCACGGCTGAGGTGTTCTCGTCCTACCGTGTTTCAGGTCTGCTTTATGTTCACGGATGCGGTCCGAGACATGTCGTTTGGTTTCTCCAATGTAACTTCTACCACAGAGGCAACTTAGTTTGTAGACGCCAGGATACTGTGTATCTGGAATAACATATTTTACAGACGGGACCAGAACACGGATTTTATGTACTGTGTTGAATCGGACCTGGATCTTGTGTTTATTCAGGATTTTGGAGATCTTTTTATTGTAGAGTGAATATACAGCAGTGTGGTATACAGTAGGGTTTGTAGAATAATACATAGTGTAATATTGCAATGTATAGTCTAAGGTATCGGGTAGTGTATAGTAACGCAGTGTAAAATTCAATGTTGGGGTTTGTCTATGGCAGTGGATATGACGGGGTATAGTCGTGTGATGTATAAAAAATAACACAATAAAATTCTCACGACGTTTCGGCCACAACGCAAGCGGCCGTCTTCAGGTGAAAGGTACAGTCGTCCCGACAGTTCTGTACCTTTCACCTGAATACGGCCGCTTGCGTTGTGGCCGAAACGTCGTGAGAATTTTATTGTGTTATTTTATTATTTTATTCTCATTCTACGTGACTTTACCGAAAGAACCAAAGAAGATGAATCCTTGCAGTCACGAAAGCTTTAAATCGAAACGTATAAAAAAGTTTAGTTGGAGGCATATTTTATTTTTTTGCGACGTAAAATTGTAATGTATAATGACTTGTTGTTAGTAGTAGGGTAGTTGCAGTTGCTTAGCGTCAATATGCTTAATTCCTCTGCTGATATGTAAAACTCAGCTTATTGGAGAGTATATTGAGTATATTGATTATATTGATGTAGTTTATATTTTAGTTTTTTATCAGTTCACTATACGGTAGTCATTATATAGTGTATTGTATACCCAGTTACTTAATGTGAATAGCTCAGCTTATTGGAAAATATATTGAGTACAGTGATTATATTGATGTAGTTTATATTTATTTTTTTCACATCGGTTTATTGTATGGTAGTAGTGGTAATTGCAGTTCTTTAGCGTCAATATGCTAAATTCCTCTGTTCATATGTAAACTCCTTTGTCAAGGCGCTCTGCTCCTCCCACCCAGCTTAAAAATATGCTGCCAAGCTTAGCAGTGTTAATTGGGACACTGTCTTTCCGACAGTTCTGTTTCTTCACCTGAGGACGGCTGCTTGTGTTGTGGCCGAAACGTCGTGAGAATAATATTATGTTTTATTTTTATTATTTTATTATTTCCCTTCTACGTGACTTTACCGAAAGAACCAAGAATAATAAATGAGTACCACTTTGTCGGGAAGTCGCTAGTGATTGATCTATGGACAGATTAATATCTGCCATAGGAATGTGGAATTTCCAATACTAGCTCATGGCTGTAAACACCTGAAACTCAGCAAGTCACTTTGACTTGTATTTATGCACGTGTAAACGAGTTCCAGACCGGGTGAGTCTTGCAAGCGGACTTCAGTCCGTCTTCAGTGCAGCACGTTGCGCTTCAGGGATTCACTCCGTTCAGGCACCGCCTGAGCCTCTCCCCTCTGCTCCTCGTACCCTCTCTCCCCGTTCCTTGCAGGACGCACCCCGACTCTCCACCAATCCCTTTCGTTTGTCCTAACGGCATCCCAACTGACCCCTCATTTGCATCTTTCAAATGATTCTGATGACCAATCAGATTTTAATGGTTCTCCACCTTCCAATCAGATTGTGCGCCCGATGTCGGCTCCCCCTGCGACAGCTCCTCACCAGTGAGTCGGGTGCGCTTCTTAAGCCAACGAGCCCTGAGATCCGGGGAACATTTTTTTTGATCGGGTCCGCCACTTAGCGCCCCTTCCATATGCATTGGAGCTGCAGAGTTTAACCCCACGGTGTACTATCTGCTGTTGCTGTAGTGTCTGCTGCTGCTGTTGTTGTTGTGTACCTGCCAGGGACACTCCCCGAGGGGGCATTCTTGTCCCCCCGCGATGCGTAAGTCCCCCTCGGACCCCTCTGCAATGTAGCTGCTGTTGTCGGACACCGTGGAGTTAGGGGGCACGAGTTGGACCGGCTTTTCCACGGTGACGGATGAAGCCTCTCGCTTCGACCGAGGCTTCTTCACCTGCACCTGGATTCTGCCACACGGGAAGGGCACTGCCCCCCACACCCCACAAGTACCATGCCGGTGCCCCCCACAAATGAACGTGAGATACGTTCACCGAGGTTTGACGTCTGGCCAACCCAAACCGACCGATCCAAGAGCAACCTCCAAGACCTCCTCAAGTCAAGATGTTGTGGCCATGCAACCCAAATTACGGACCACATAGTGAACCGCTGAAGTCTGCGCTCCTTAAACGGAGGAGCAAAACTACCCAAACATGATAGCAAGGATCGACTCGAACTTTACTCGTTGATCCCTACAGCGATGTTGAGGACGCGCTCGATCAGACACTGTTTCATCTCATCCACCACACTGTGCCACCACTACACTGTAGATCACAATAACACAATCGCCCTCTCACGCACTCACGCACTCACACATCCACTCGCGACACTGCAGGTCACAACAATCATCTTTCATCTTACTCCATACCACCGCTCTCCACATTGGAATTCCCTCCTACCATCAGCGTCTCTTCCCAAAGCTCCTATAATAATAGTACTGTAATAACCTCGCTTCATTCGATTCAATAAACCCGTTACACTGTTAATTATTTGCAGGACCCACCATTGTGACCTCTATTTAAAATCCAATCTCACGTGAATTGATGCAAGAACAAATCTACATTGGGCCCTGTTCAGTCATAAAGTCCTTATTGGAAAATGTACTATACTATCCATTGAATTGCCTTTTACCTTTCCCAAGAACAGAATTGGTGACACCAATGCATTGGAACAACAACATTGGAACAAAAACAACAACCTTGTGTACTCCCTGAACATCGTAAATCTTCCTTCAAAACACAAAATCAAGCAGAATATTAGTGCTGGATACGACCACATTTGCTGGTGTGATTTATAACTTTGATTCTTATCCGTTTATCGATGGTTACATTTTAGTGTGTGTAATTTGTTGAGTGACTCTGTGTTGTCTTGGTGTGGTGGCCTGGGACTGTTGATGTCATTTTGCTGCGGGTTCCTCCTGCAGTCTAAATAATGATTCTGACAACTTTGGCAGTGCTGTTTGTTGCTGACCGCTTGATGTGTTGGGCCCTATGGCCTATTGTGCTCATCAACTGTGACAAAAACAAACTCTGACCTTACAATCTAAACTATATCTATGTATTCTAGATTTAAAGCTTTCGTGACTGCAAGGATCCATACTCTTTGGTTCTATTCGGTAAAGTCACATAGGTAAAAAATAAAACAAAAATCACGACGTTTCGGCCACAACACAAGCGGCCTTCATCAGGTGAAGGGATCAGGCTGTCTCGAGGACAGCGCTGGAGTGAAACACAGCCACGCTCAGACCGCGGACCTTTAAGCTGTGTGCGAGGAAACAAGGTGCCTTGACAAAGGAATTAGCATAAAAATTAGCATTTGATTGGCCGACTTAGCATAGAGGTGGTGTACGTGCGGGTGAACATGCCGGTTGGCGAGGGGGGGGGGGGAGTTTACATATTGATGGTGTGAAAAGGGAATTTTTAAGAGTTACGAAAGTTCGGGGTACTACTACTTGAAAAATATACTGAACCATTGAAAATTAGTTTAATGTTTAGTTCGATTTAGAACATCTTTCCAATGGTTGCTTAATTTGAAACCAGCTTCTCGGTTGAAATTGTGTCTCTGTTTGTAGATCTGAATTGCCTCGTGAACAAATCTCTGATAAAAACCCGTGGGTTTGCAAAGAACCTTGGTATCGAAGAAAATTATATCGTGATCACCCACAGCGTTGTAACAGTGATCAGCCATGGCAAAATAATTCGTTTTGCCGTGTTTCAAATCTGATTTGTGCTCGCAAATTCGGTCAGAGACATGTTGCTTTATCTCCCCGATATAGCAATCACCGCATGTACAACTCAATTTGTAAACCCCAGGGTACTGTAAGTCAGGAATGACATCCTTCACAGATGGGATCAGATCACAAATGTTGCGTACTGTATTGAACCGGACCTGGATCTTGTGTTTGTTTAGAATTTTGGAAATCTTTTTAGAAAATCCTGCTATATATGTATTTTATAAAGTCGACCAGCTAAACACGTATCCTTGTCAGTTCATAACTTTATGTTTAATGTTGGTGCACGCACGAGTGCATCCAATTTGTTTGGCCGAGTCGGGTGGTAGAGGGTCTCACGACGCAAACGTGGCCGGCTCATTGAGTGGTCCAAACCCGAACAGCCACTGTGAGCCTCCCCCGCTTTTACCGCGCGTGGCAGCGGGCGGCTGGTGGCGTTCGTTACCCACGGGCTGGCAGGACTTGCCGTCGGCGTGCAGTTTGTAGTCCTTGGCGCAGGAGCAGGAGAACTGCTCGTCCGAGCCCTGGCAAAAGTGCTGGCAGCCGCCATTACGGAAGGTGCAGCCCAATTTGGCTGCACAACGGGGGGGGAGGGAGGGAGGGGCGTCATCTCGCTCGTTCGCTTCACGCTCGCTTTCGTCTTAATTCGCATCTCTGATCGTTTCGTGGGAATCGCTCTTCAACTTTCACCGGCGAACGAGCCGAAGCGACAATCGGTCGGCGCGTCGTCGAACGCCGGCACGCGCGATGGTTGAGTGCGATCGGCCGCGTCGGGTAGCTACGATCATTCACAACGTGGCCTGACCCGACCATCGATTATATTTATGGGTCGCTCGCTTCCCGAGTTTAGTCTGTGTCACGTCGCCCGTGGCAAAACACGACGCCGCGGAAGTTGATATCACAGAACCGCTTGCGAGGTGCGGTGATGTGCGGTGCGTACATATTTCGCAGGTGTTCCCGTCGTAGCCGCTGAGGCAGTAGCAGGTGTACTCGTTGATCCCGTCCTTGCAGACGCCATTATTCTTGCACGGGTTGGAGCTGCACTGGTCTCCGTCTGGGGCACGCGAGACGCGGCACCACCACCACCACCACGCGCACGGTCACCAGCGGGGTTTGCGTTCACGTCCCAGCGCTTTGCGCGAACTGTGCCGTGCGGTTCGTCACTCACCCGAGTACTTGTTCCAGAATTCATTCTGGAAAAAAGCACAGAGCGAAGGGCATCAGTTTGTGTGGGGGGGGGGGAGCGTGAGGAGGCGCGCGGTGTGGTCGAGCCGGCTCAGGGTGCGGGTTGCGGGGCCTGCTGCCCATGGCACCTGTGCGTGTGTGTGTGTGCTTGAAGGTCACGCGTCCAAGCACTTTCCAGGCTCGGACTCTGATTGTCTCCCCCTGAGGGACGATCACCGCGAGCATCCTGAGAGGTCTGGGCACGCGAGTGTGAGCACAGTCCGGGCTCGGGCCGTTCTCATCGCGAGGGTTCTGCTGTGCTTCACAGACGGCTGCAGAGTTCGCGGTGGGTCCACAACATGGGACAATGCCGCTGTCTGGTTTGACCCAACTGAGTAATTTTCGTGATATATTTTACGTTTGGCCCACGACTCCGGCACAACGGCCTTGGAAATAACGTCGCGGGATCGATTTCATCTGCGGCACTGACCAGGGCGGATCGCTGGGATCGAACCGCCGGGAATCTCCGCACTCAAAACGATGACCCGCGGGCAGCGCGAGGCCCGGGGACCGCTGCGCCAAGGGGCCGCAGCTCGGAGGCCACCGCCGCCCCTGTGGCGTCTCGGGTGGTGGCGACGGCGCGAGTTGGGCCGCGAGCGGACGGCGGCCGTCTCACCGTGGCGTCGATGTTCTCGAACACCTCGCGCGCCTCCTCGAAGCTGCAGCGCTCCTCCATGCACTCGCGCTCCAGGTTCCCCTTGCGCAGCTCCTCCCAGCCGCTGTTGGCGCGCCGCGCCCGCGCCAGGACGATTGCCGCTTGGCGCCGCTGTAGGAACACCGTGGCTGCGTGCGTTCGTGCGTGTACGTGTGTACGTGTGTGTGCATACGTGCGTGTGTGTGTGCATACGTGCGTGTGTGTGCATACGTGCGCGTGTGTGTGTGCATACGTGCGTGTGTGTGTGCATACATGTGTGTATGGGGGGTTGGCACAGTAGGGGGCACAGGTGGTGCATCAGCCAGTCATCTTAGTCAGTCGACCCGTGGCACCTGGGTCTGCCCCGTGACCTCCTGCCAGTGGGCGTTCGACACTTACATAGCCTGGCACAAGCGTCGTGGTGACGTTACCGCCACTTAGTGGCGAATGGCGGTTGTTGTTGTTGTATGGGGGGAGCGATAGAGTAGCGGTTAGCGCGCTGCGCTACGAATCCGGCGACCCGAGTTCGATTCCCGCTCACGGCTAACACCAGTGACGATTGTCTGAACCCGTCCTGGGCCTCCCCTAGGTCGACTTGGCCTTAAGTGAGTACCTGGTGCGGTGTGTAAACATCAGCACTGGGGAGACAAAGGCGATCGGGGGTGTTACTGGCCACCCACCCCCTCGTGTGCCGTGCTGGGCTTCATAGCTGCCAACATCCGTGAGTTGATCTGACAATCGGGAGCACAAAATCCAAGTGTGTAGTTGAGGATGTAAGCGCAGCCCTGAAAGTGCCTACTCACACCACTGCTGGCCAGCGGCCTCCACCGGAGGGAGGTCTACTCGACCACACTATCCAGATGAATCCCAAGATATGGGCTTACCCACACTTTACCCCACCACACGCGATCTGCCGCGCAGGGAGATGGAAGCGAACTGGTCCCCCTCGGGGTTGAGTCCAGCGCGCTTCCGACCGTCGTCTTCACGCACAGAACCGTGCACAGAACCGTGCGTGATGTGATGCTCGCGAGATTGGCACGCGGGCCCTGCTGTGTTGTCTTAACTTTTCTCAAGGCCAACAAATATTTACCAAACCCAAACACGGGCTACTGTTATATCTGATCCACGCGCAGGTCAGCGAGAGAGAGCGAGAGAGCTCCACTTCTCCCCGACGGTCCTCATTATCAACTACACCGAGCATCTTCTTGTTTCCTCTGATCGTAAAAAAGAGAGCGAGGGAGAGCAAGAGAGAGAGAGCGATAGAGAGAGAGACTTAACTTTTAAACATCTTTTATTGCCGCCAGCAGCAACAGCACTGGAGGCGATTCCGATATGAAATACACAAAGTCACCAGCAAACAAATGAAAATAAACACTATAAATCCACGCGCTGTGGCACTAAATGCAGCGCGCACAACACGAAAGAAAAGAAAGTCACGTGGTGGTCATCGTGCACGCCACGGTAACGAGCGAGCACCTCAGAAGTTGAACATGAGAGTGCCATCCACGCTGGTACAGAGGGCTTTTCCGGCTCCCCAGCGTTCGAAGAAGACGTGCACATCACCGACATGTGTGTGGTATGCGTGCTCCAGCCAGAGCCGTGCCTTAAGCAGGCCCCTGAACACTGGAAGCATAGAGCAGCCATCAGTGTCCCCTTCCAGCATCTTTTTCCTCGTTCTGTACACCGCCATCTTCGCCTGAGCACAGGCGAAGTTGGCGAGGTCATGGCGCTTGTTAGCCAGGTAAGGTACCCCATATATGAAGCTGCTGTTGTAGAAGGGTACCCCCAGTTTGCTGAAGATGTCCCCCAAAAGGCGGAACCTTGGTTTGAGCCGCTGCCAGCGCAAGTACCGGTGGGGCAGATTCTCCCTGGCACCACAGGAAATGCACCAAGTCTGTTACCCCTGGCGAGATTCGGCTGAGCCACACGGCCGATGGCAACGTGCAGTGTGCCAATTTCCACTGGAGGTCACCGCAGCGTTTGGCAACGGGAGACTTGTACATTTGTTTCCACTGAGGGGCGGCCGCAATGAGGGGAGAGAAATGGTCTCTCCATTTTGTGTCCGGTAGGTCGGCCAGATCCCGGGAATGCAGCGCCTTGACACAGCCACGTGTGGAGAGCTGTGTTCGTGGCACTCTTCAGGGGCACGTTCCTGCAGCCTCGGAGCTTCAGTAGCTTGCTGGAGTCGCTGTGACCAGGGGGCTGTGCGCAGGAGAAGCACAACTCCGGGAAGGAGAAGGGGGGGGGGGGGAGGGCCGCCACCATCCCCCGGCGCCTCTAGCTTCAGGCACAGCTCCTTCATGGCGTGGAGCACGTCCCACAGCAGCTTCTCCCCGGCAAGCATGGAGCGGAGTCCTACGGTGCTGGCGATCTCAGCTGCGGCCTTCCACTTGGGCTGGTGGGCCTGCACGAGGTGGAAAACTGTCCTCAGCCCTGCTGATGTGAGGTGGAGAGCCAGGGTCCTCTCCCCTCTGATCCCCTGGAAGAGGCCGTTGCAGAACAAGGGCTCGTTTAGGAACTGTGCGAGGTCGTAGGGCGCGCGCGTTCTGCTCCACTCAAAGCTCTGCCACGCGTCCAAGAGGCTCTGGTGATAACCTGGCAGCCTCGTGTAATCGACCAGGCTCAGGTCCATCAGGAAAAGTTCCTTTCCATAGCCCAGGCACCCCCCTGCATTCCTCAGCAGAGCGAGGGCCGGCAACTTCCAGGATAGTGCCTCCCGGTCGTACAGCAGCCGCCTGACTGCCATGAGCCTGAAACTCATGACCCTGGTGGCGACGTCCACCAGACCCTGGCTGCCCTCGCCCACCAGCAGGCAGAGAACGCCCGACCTGAGCCAGTGTTTCTCATGCCAGACGAAGTGCGCGAGTGAGCGGTTGACTCTGGTGAGTAGCCAAGAAGGAGGCTGGAGGGCCTTGGTTTTGTGCCACAGCACGGATGCAGCGTGGGTGTAAGCAACGAGCACTCAGCCCCTGACTGACATCTGTGGAGCAAGGCGTGCCCATGTCAGTAATTTTGCCTCGATTGTGTCGGTCAGCTCGATCCAGTTGTTCAGAGCGACGTGTGGTTTCCCCAAACGACTTCTCCTGGGAGGAGCACAGAGCGAACGCCGCCTGGCGACCCCAAACACAGGACCTCGCACTTGGGCCAGTTGACCCTGGCGGAGGAGGCCCTCTCATACACTGCAACCGCCTGGCAGAGCTCGGAGACGTCATGCGCGTCGTTGAGCACGACGCATATGTCGTCTGCGTAATCCGAGAGCTTGATGACCACATTCTCCGGTCCCGGGACTTTGAGGCCAGACAGATTTCGTCTCAGGTGGCATAGCAGTGGGTCAATGGACAGGGTGTCCAGCAGTCCCGAGAGGGGGCATCCCTGTCTAACCTCCCTCGTCACAGGGAAAGGGGCGCCGAGCCGCTGGTTTATCTTCAAGAGGCTGGATGTGCCCCGTGTACAGGAGCCTAACGTGCGAGATGAAGACCTGGCCGAAGCCGAGCGACGTTAGGAGTTTGTACAAGTACTCGTGGCTCACCCTGTCAAAGGCCTTCTCCTGATCCAAGAAGAGGAGGCCTAAGTCCATGTTGTGCGCTTCTGCAAAGGAGATTATGTCTCTGACCGTACCGATGTTGTCGTATATGCACCATCCGGGGATGCAATATGACTGTTCCGGCCGGATCAGCTGACTCAGCACTGTCTTGAGACGGTTTGCCAGCACCTTGGAGAAGATTTTGTAGTCAGCACACAAGAGGGACACGCGGGTCGCCAGTTCACGAGGAGGCGCAGGTCCCCCTTTTTGGGTAGCAGGGAGACCACCGCTCTCCTGCAGCTCTATGGGAGTTCACCCTTCTGCAGGCCTCTCCGTCAACAATTGTAGTATTGGAGGGCCAAGCTCATCCCATGAAGGCCGCATAAAACTCAACTGGCAGGCCGTCAATCCCTGGGGCTTTACCAGCTGCGAGCCCTTTCACAGCGGTGTGGAGCTCCTGCAGGGTGACGGGGCTGTCCAGACAATCCCGCTCGGGGACTCCTAAGGTAGCGCCCCCATCCAGTAGCTTCATCGTGTATGGTTCGGGGGCGAAAAGTTGTGAGTAGAAATCCCTGGTAGTCTTGGCGATCTCGCTCTCAGATGTTGCTGTTTGTCCATCTGGGGTTCGCAAACTGGAAATGTTTGTGGTGTTGGCCGGTACTTTGTTTAAACGGAATGAAAACTTAGAGGGAGAGTCCATCAGCGACAGGTGCTGCATTTTTTTGCACACAAAAGCACGATGTGCCTGCTCGTCCGTGATGGACCTGAAAAGCCACTGCTTCTCCAGTAGCGTCTCACCCTGCTGTGCCGTGGGATGAGCTCAGCTCTGCCTCTAGTGCCAGCAGCTCGTTCTGCAGTTGGCGCGCCACCTCGTTCTTGGCGGTGGCGTGCTGGCTAATGAACTGCTGACAGAGAACCCTGACCTGCGCCTTTGTGTTGTCCCACCATAGCTGGTGGGAGCTGAAGCTGCCTTTGGTAGGCAGCCACTGAGCCCAAAAGGCTTTGAAGGTTTCTCCAAAGTCGGTGTCATCAAGCAGCTTTATGTTGAGTCTCCATAAGGCGCTGTGCTGCTGCACTCTGGGAATTCGCAGCAGCACAGAGAGCAGGTGGTGATTGGAAAAACCGGAGGGTATGATTTTACTGTCCCCGAGCAGGTTAACGCTGCTGGCGTTGACGTATAGTCGGTCGAGCCTGGCAAGGCTTATCCTGCCTTGAGAGCCGCAGAGGCACCAAGAGCACTGCCGCCGGGCTGGATGCTGTAGTCGCCACACGTCACGCAGATCCAGTCTCCGCACGAGTTCGGCTAGCAGCCGTGCGGATTCAGGGTGAGGTTCGGCAGTGTTGCGGTCGAGAGCCGGGTCGAGGGTGCAGTTGAAGTCTCCCCCCACGACGGTGAGCACGTCGTCCACGTTGTCTGTCGCGAGTCCGTCCCACAGCGCGCTGAAGAAGAGCTTCCTCTCGGGGCCTTGTTCGTGGACCAGTGAGGATGTGGAGGATTTGCGGGCGTGCTTGGACTGTACTGACTGGGATATGTTCACGACTGCTACCAATAGTCTGGATGAACTCACAGAGACTGTGACGTCGTACATCAGCTTCTGTGAGGACTGCTGTATTCCAACATGTACCAGGGTGAACTTCAACAACAACAAGCCCTGGTTCTCAGCAAAGCTCAGAAGGTTGAGGTTGGAGGAGGAAGCGGTTAGGAGTGGGGATAGAGACAGATTCAAGGAGTCGAAGAACAGGTTTAGCAAGGTGGTGAGAGGCTAAACGACTGTACTCAGAGAGACTAAAACACCAGTTCTCTGCTAACGACTCTGCTTCTGTCTGGAGAGGGCTCAGGCGGATCAACAACTACAAGCCCAGAGCCCCCCACACCACTAACGACTCCCGCCTGGCCAACGACCTGAACGAGTTCTACTGCAGATTTGAAAGACAATTGGACTGTCCTGAACTACCCCTTCCCACCCAAGAGGCCCCATCCCCCACCCCTACTACAGAGACGACTCTCCTTTCAGGAGGGAGAAGTTAATAGACTTTTCAAGAGGCAGAACCCACGCAAAGCAGCTGGGCCGGACTCTGTCTCTCCAGCCACCCTCAGGCACTGCGCTGACCAGCTGTCTCCAGTGTTCACCAACATCTTTAACACCTCCCTGGAGACATGCCATGTACCAGCCTGTCTCAAGTCCTCCACCATCATCCCTGTGCCCAAAAAGCTAAGGCCATCAGGACTAAATCATTATAGACCGATCGCCCTTACCTCTGTGGTAATGAAGTATTTTTAGCGCCTGGTTCTGGCACACCTCAAAGCCATCACAGACCCTCTCCTGGACCCCCTTCAGTTTGCCTACAGAGCCAACAGGTCTGTGGACGACGCAGTTAACATGGCCCTCCACTTCACCCTACAGCATCTGGACTCCCCAGCATCCTACGCCAGAATCCTGTTTGTGGACTTCAGCTCTGCCTTCAACACCATCATCCCTGCCCTGCTTCAGGACAAGCTCTTCCAGCTGAACGTGCCCGACTCCACCTGCAGGTGGATCACAGACTTCCTGTCTGATAGGAAGCAGTGCGTTAAGCTGGGAACACAAGTCTCTGACTCCAGGTCCATCAGCACCAGAACTCCTCAGGGCTGCGTCCTTTCCCCACTGCTCTTCTCCCTGTACACCAACAGCTGCACCTCCAATCATCTGTCCGTCAAACTCTTGAAGTTTGCAGACGACACCACCCTCATTGGGCTGATCTCTGGTGAGGATGAGTCTGACTATAGGTGGGAAGCTGACAACCTGATGACCTGGTGTAGCCAGAACAACTTAGAGCTAAATGCTCTAAAGACAGTTGAGATGGTTGTGGACTTCAGGAAGAATACAGCCCCACTCACCCCCATCACCCTGTGCGACTCCCCAGTCAAAACTGTAGAGTCCTTCCGCTTCCTGGGCACTATTCTCTCCCGGGACCTCAAGTGGGAACTGAACATCAGCTCCCTCACCAAGAGAGCTCAACAGAGGATGTACTTCCTATGGCAGCTGAAGAAATTCAACCTGCCAAAGACAATGATGGTGTACTTCTATACAGCAATCATTGAATCCATCCTCACCTCCTCCATAAACGTCTGGTACGCTGCTGCCACTGCCAAGGACAAGAGCAGACTGCAGCGTATCATCCACACTGCTGAGAAGGTGATTGCCTGCAATCTACCAACCCTCGAGGACCTGCACACCTCGAGGACCATGAGGCGAGCGAGAAAGATTGTGGCCGATTCCTCCCACCCTGGACACTCTCTGTTTCAGCTACTCCCCTCCGGCAGAAGGTTGCGGTCCATCAGGACCAAAACCTCACGCCACATAAAAAAATGTCTTCCCATCCGCTGCTGGCCTCTTCAACAAGGCCAAGGGCTTACACTGACTTGAACATTTTATCTACAAAATGACACCTTGCCATATTTACACTGTTACCCTATTTGTATTTTTAGATTGTATCTCATAGCTACTTTATATTCAATATTTATTCAAAATTTTACATACTTTAGCCCCTTAGTGTTAGTTACACTTTGTACCTTTAGTATAGTTAGACTTGTATACCACTTATTTTAGATTTAAGATTACTATATGTTGAATGTATGCACCTTCCTGCCAAAGTAAATTCCTTGTCTGTGCGAACTTTCATGGTGAATAAAACCCTTTTTGATTCAGATTAAAGCACCGAGGCAGGATTTATTCAGGACGAATTCGACAGAAATCAAGTGACCTTTGACGATTTCGTTGAATGAGACATTCTCTGGTGCAAACCGTGAACTGAGCACAATCATTACTCCGGCGAGGTTGTCCTCGGCATGGCTGAAGAAGGCCTGGTCGCCTAGAAAAGGCTGGCGTTGGGCCTCCAGAGTGGCGTCGAGGTGGGTTTCCTGGAGAAGAGTCACATCTGCTTTGTGTTCCTTGACAAAGTGGCAGATCTGGTCCCACCTCTTGTCACTGCGAGCGCTGTTACAGTTCAGACTAGCAACCTTAATAGCTGAAACCATCATGTTGTTGTGTGGTGGTGGTAGTGTTAACAGTAGTTGCAGGGGGGTGGGTTACTTCTGGGCAGAAGTAAGCTCCTTCTTCGCCTTGTGCATGAACGCTTTTAGGCGGTAGCATTCCTGAGTCGAGAAACCAAACCTGTCGCTGTTGCGGCAAATTTGTTGGGACGCGTTGAGGAAAGTGGTGAGGTCAGGGAAAACGGCCCTGACCCTAACTTGACGCTTCCTGAAAGTTTTCCCCAGGTGTGTAATTGCACTCGCTGTTGACTTGTGAGTAGCTGAGCTCACTCACGTCCTCTCTTTCAGTCCCCTACACCTCGTCGTCCGAGTCCTGCAGCTCGTCAAACTGTGACTTGGCAGAAACCTCGTTTTCCATTGTGGGTGGCTGCCCTCTGGTAGTGGAGGTTCTTTTGCTCTCTCTTCGGGTGAGGTGAGCCGGCCTTCGTCGCCTTCCTGCAGCGTGGCGCCATTAGGCGCCGCACCGGCTGGTGATTCCTCTTGCCCTAAAGATGCTGAGGTGGCGTGCGGCGGGGGAGTTGGCGGCACTTGTCCCACCGTGCTGTCCTTAGATGGGTCGCCATCGAGCATGTCCTCATGTTCATCTCCTGCAACGTCATCTTGGACGGCGCTCGCTGGGGGGCCTTGCTCGTCCTGCTCTGCGACTTTTGGGTAGGGCTCGTGATCGGCGGTGGCCGCGCGCTTAGGGTTAGGGGTCGCGTGGCCTCCTCCACCGTGGCCGGGCTTCACCCTGCGCTTGCGCGAGGTGACGAGGGTGAAGCCCTCGTCATTCTCGTCGTCGGTGGGCGGCTTTGTGCGACCGGCCACCGAGTCAGCATCCTGCTGTTGCAGCAGCTGGCACTCGTGCAGTAGTGGCTGCTGCTGCTGCGGTGGCTGCGGCTGCTGCTGAGGCTGCGGTGGTTATGGCTGCTGCTGCTGCTGAGGCTGCTCATGTTGCTGCTCCTCCTGCTGTTGCAGCTGCTGCTGTTGCTGCTGCTGCGCAGGCTGCGGCGGCTGCTGCTGCTGCTTCTGCCGGCGCTGCTGAGGCTGTGGCAGCTGCTGATGCTGGCGCTGCTGCTGCTGTTGGCGCTGTTGCGGCTGCGTGACATTTGTTGCAGGCTGCACGTTTTTTCCTTTTGGTTTGCCCGTGCAGTTTGCACGGGCATGGCCGAAGCCACCACACACGTAGCAGCACGGCAGCACGGTGGACGCATACACGGTGTAGGTGTAGCCTTCCGTCGTGTACTTAAAAGTTCACGTTAAGTTCCGTGTTGTTGGCATTTAAAATCATAAATGTTTGTCGCTGAAATGACAAGACGTGCGCCAGTTCTGGGTCCCGTGTGTGCCAGGGCAGCACAATGATGCGGGACACGACTTTGCCAAACCGTTCAAGATCTCGTTGTAGGTCGGCAGTTTTGAGGAAGGGTGGGGCGTTGGAGATGAGCATTTTTTGCGCGGGGGAGGAGAGAGGTGTGCATTGCACAAAAATCTCCCCCTTGAAGGTGAGCCCCGTGGCGATGACGCGCGCCACCATCTCTCCGTTGGCGAGGAGGACCACATAGCCGCGGTTCATGGGAGCCACGGCGATGACGTTCCGCTTCCCCACACACCGTCCAGCGGCGACTATCACGTCGTCCCCCTTTATCTCAGGTGGAAGCAGAACAGTCCATGTTGGGGGGATTGAGGAGAGAGAGGATCCTCTGGCGTAGCGTGGCATTGCAAATAAAATAAGTAAATAATATTAATAAATCAATTACCCAAATATATACGTTAGCTGCACAAATGAAAGGAGAGAACAAGACAAGAAAAAGGTGCATAGAAAAGAAAAGTGTGGTCGGGGGGGGGGGGCGCAGGGTGGCGTCAAGAGAGAGGGGGGCGGCAGTGAAAGGTGTTGTCACGAGCGTCCCACGGCGTGATGGGTGCTGCTGCGGAGGCAGGGATGCAGCAATGCTGAAAAAGGAGAGGGCGAGAAAAGCAGCAGAGAGGAGAGGAGTGGGAAAGAGGAGTGGGAAAGAGGAGCGATTTTAATGTTTGCAGTAAAGCAGAAGAATAGGAAGGATATATCAGAGGGGGGAGGAAGGGTGGTGGGAGGTAGGGCTGTGAGGCCACAGGCTTGTCGAGTAAACGAGTGTGATGAGAGGAAAAAGAGATGCAGAGGTGGGAGACAGCACGACCCTGTGTTGTTGGAGGCACTCACAGAGGTGGAGGATAGAAGATGAGCACTCGATGGTGCTCAGAGATTGGAAGAGGTCGTTGTAAAGTGCAAAAAACGATGTCAGGTGAGGCTAGGATGCATACATAAAAACTAGGCCCTCACTGCCAGGTAATGTAATCTCTGGGAGCACTGGTAGACACACCCTCTTCCCAGCATCCAGCGAGAGAGAGGGGTGATTGCAAAAGTCGTAAACAGGGACCAGTCCTACACCAGCCCCGGACGAACCATCCACGACGGCATCTTCCTGGTCAGGGACCTAATCGCGGTGTCCCAGAGGTTGGGCATCCCAATCGCGTTCTGGCCCTTGACCAGGAAAAAGCTTTTGACAGAGTGGACCATAAATACCTGCTGGGAACCCTCAAGACCTTTGGTTTTGGGGATGGCTTTGTCCGAACGATCCGCCTACTCTACACCAAGGCGGAGTGCATGATCAAGGTCAACGGCGCCCTCACTGCCCCTGTCAAATTCGAGCGAGGAGTGAGACAGGGATGCCCATTGTCGGGCCAACTTTATGCCCTGGCTTTAGAGCCTTTCCTGAGTCTCATAAGGCGGAGACTCAGCGGATTGGTGCTCATGGAACAAGGCGTCAAGTTGGTCCTGACGGCATACGCCGACGACGTCCTCCTCATCCTGCATTCCCTGGATGATGTTGCCCTGCTGCACGAGTGCCAGGAGGTCTTTTCGAAGGCCTCATCAAAAATGAACTGGCAAAAGTGCAGCGGGCTGCTGGTTGGATCGTGGGACATGACCGAGTGTACCGAGAAGGCAAAAGTCATCAATTGGAGCATAACATCGCTGCACCATCTGAGGGTGTTCCTGGGACCAGAGCAGGAACCACCGCAGAGGAACTGGGTCGAGCTGGAGGAGAAGGTGAAGGAGCGGCTGGCCACTTAGAGTCGCCTGTGCAAGTTCCTGACCTTCAGGACAAAGACGTTGGTGGTGAACCAGCTGGTGACGTCCATGCTGTGGCACCGACTCTTCTCCCTGCACCCCCCTATGAGCCTCGTCAACGTGCTTCAGAAGCGAGTCCTCGACTTCTTCTGGTTGGGCGGAGGACACCGGGTCGCAGCTGAGGTTCTGGTCCTGCCACAAGACGAGGGTGGTCATGGGCTGGTGTGCGTGTGGAGTCAGCTGGCCACCTTCCGACTGCAGGCCGCGCAAAAGTTCCTGCACACCGCCCCTGCACCGGCCTGGAGCGTCACGACCTCCTTCCTCCTGAAACAGGTGGGGGGCCTGCAGTGCTCCAAACAACTATTCTACATGGACCTGCAGGGCCTCCCACTGGGACAGCTGCCACATTTCTACAGAAGCGTCCTGCAGACATGGAGCTCCCTCGCCATCAGGAGGCTGAACCAGCCGCGATCGGCCGAGGATCTGGTCTTCGAACCGATCCTCAGGAACCCACAGACAAAGCTGCCATCCACCACCGCCACCTCCGGCATGGAGAGGCGCCTCGCCAATGCGTGGCACACCAGGATGGGAGACCTCATGGAGCCTGGAACACGGGGCCAGTGGCTCGGACCAGCAGACATGGCCGCAAAGACAGGGCTGCAGTCGCTCCGGGTGGCTGCCCGGATCCTGGCCGAAGCCAAGGGGGGCTTCTCAGCGGCAGCGGGGAGAACGCCCCCCATCGGCGTTGGGGATGATGAGGCCCCTCTCGGTCCTCCTCCACCGGAGCTCTCTGTCATGCCACTGCATCGCCAATGCCGACAAACGAAGGCGGATCACAACCTGTGCCGGCTGGAAGACCCACCAGAGGTGGCCTTCGCAAATGTAAAGAGGAAGGTGCTGTACTCCTACATGCTCCAGTTTCACCAACAGGAACCCCTGGGGAGCCACAAGGACCATGCCTGGAGGAAAGCCCTGCCCTGCAGCTATCCGGAGAGGCCTCTCTGGAGGCAACTCTACTCCAGCCCAACGTACAACCGCAACGGCGACCTCAGCTGGAGCATCGCCCACGGCACCGTCACCACCAACGTCTCCCTGGCATGCTTCACTGACACGTCCCCGGAGTGCCGGTTCTGCGGTAAAGCGGAGACAGTGGCGCACCAATACGTGGAGTGCAAGAGCCTGGACTCGCTGTTCAAGGTCCTGAGAAACATCCTCCTAAAGTTCAGCCTCCACTTATCCCCGACGGTCCTCATCTTTGGATACCCGAAGGGCGATGGATCCCAACATCTTCAGGGGCTGGTCAACGTGCTCGTCGGCTACGCCAAGCTCGCCTTATACAGGGCGAGGAAGGTGGCCATGGAAGGGAATCGTCCGGCCAGCACCCTGGGCATCTTCCGCGCTCTGGTCGTAAGCAAAAAAGAGAAAAAAAGAGAGCGAGAGAGCGAGAAAGAAAAAAAGAGAGAGAGCGAGAGAAAGCGAGGGAGCGAGAGAGCCCTCACCCCCCCCCCCCCCCCCCAGTGGCACCACGGCTGGGACACGGGACGCGCTATCAGGACAAACACGCACCACGTGTGTGTGTGTCCACGACACTGTTTGCTCTCTTCGCTTTCTGTTTGACTTGGGACTTAGTCTCAACACCAAAAACATTATATACCTATATTCTTAGCTCTTTCGGTAAAGTCACGTTGAAGGGAAACAATAAAATAATAAAATATATATTATTGTTTTATATATATTATTATTTTATTGTTTCCCTTCAACGTGACTTTACCGAAAGAGCTAAGAATATGAATTACTGCAGTCACGAAAGCTTTAAATTAAAATTCTATACCTAGTTCACATACAACGTTTCTGACAAACAGCTACGATGCAAACGTTGAAAAATCCATTTTGGTTGCCATCATCATCATCAATCGTCGAATTTATTTCCGGCTCGACTGAGCGTCGAGGTGGTGACCCTCTCCTGTGCACAGCCCCGAGCCAGCGGTGGAAGTTCCACATTCACATAGCGGGGATGAGCCCATGTCTACATGATAGCCGCTGTTGACTTTCCCACGAAATGGTCTATACTTTATCGACCCCGAAGGGATGATGGGTCCAATCAACTCCCTAAACAGGATTTGAAATCGCAACATGCAGATTTTTGACTCAACCCACAAACATGTGTAAAAAGCACTCGGCCTTTGTACATTCTGCTACAACAATCAGCAGTTCCTGAAGAACTGCATTGTGTTCCGCTTGTTTAGATCGCCATGAGAATAAATCTGAGAAAATGTGATCAACCAACAGCTGATGTGCTTACCACTGCTCCATCCCCTCACCCAAACCTTATACGGACAATGTGGATCGTGCATAGTTTGAATACCACTCCGTCTCCAGACGTTGCACAAACACAATGTGTCGTGCGCATCACCTAGACACCGACACATTTAGAGGAGAGAGAGCCATCGGATTGTATTTGCATTGAGAGACAGAAAGATGAACGTATGGGAATATACGCAGGCGAATGGCATCATCTAAACTGTTAAGAGAAGCGAGTGAGGCTTGGGCAGGGCGCGTCGCGGCTCGAAGGGACAATGGGGGATGGTCAATAATATTGCGTCAAGGATGATTATAATGGAGTGGCGGTCAGGGAGCGGAATGCGTCTGAGAGGACGTCCACCGAGGAGACGGAGCGATGAGATGAGCTTCTCGCGTGCAGGAGCTGGATTCATCGATGCATAGCGGGACCGTGAGAGGAGGCGGCTCTGGGAGGCCTTCGTCCAGCAGCGGATTGATCCTGGCTGCTGGCGAAGGTGATTGTGGGTCACGCGACGCGCACGCTCACTCACCATGGCACGCGCTGGAGAGGAGCAGCACCAACCACAGGAGGCGGACGTTTCGGCCGCAGGAGGAAGCCATGGGTGTCATCGCACTCCCCGTGTCTCCACACTTCTGCTCTCCTCCTCCTAGCTGATCCAGACTCGGGTGGCCTCCTCCCTCTCTCTCCTTCCCTCTCCCTGACCCGGGGGCCTCGCGATGCCAAATGCGGCTCGCCCCCTTTTCATCCGCTGCCTCGACGCTCGGCAGATTACGCGAGAACAGGGGGAGGGGGCAGATTGCGGGGGAAAGGGCGTATGGATGAGCAGTCTCACTCGGGGCTCTGGTATCATTTTTACACTGCACAAGAGAGATGCGCCGAGCTCTTGAGGCACTGGGCTGTTTTTTCGCTGCAGTTCCGAGCCGTGCTGCTGATGTCACACGAGGTGAGCGAGTGGATACGCGTGTAGATGACGCAGTGATGTTCTGTACTTACGGCGTACTGACTGACGTCACAGACAATGAACGGGTTATTAGTCCCACCCCTGGCCCTGCTGGGCCCGGAACCACATTCAGATGCCTTGGTGAGGCCGGTGTATCATGGTCTGGTTTGGCAATGTCAAACATCCAGTGGAAAACTACCCGTACCGGGAAGGTCTGGAGTGAGCGCAGCTCGGATGTACCAGTGGAAAAGTGTGTCAACATAATCCCCATGACCCACGGTGTGGGGAGGCCCTCATCCAGCAGTGGAGTGGCTAAAGGGCTGCCCGTGTGCGCATGCATTCATTTACTACGCTTTCTATTGCTTTTGATTTTTGTCCTTGTATTTAATATTAAAATGTTTTAGAGGTCCTTTAACTTACTCTAAACGTGCAACAACAACTGCCGTTCGCCACTAAGTGGCGGTGACGTCACCATGGTGCCTGTGCCATGCGAGGTGCACTTTGAGGCTTGAAAGGGTCAAAGGCTCGCTGGCAGGAGGTCACGGGACAGACCCAGGTGTCGTGGACTGACTACCTGAGATGACTAGCAGATGTATAAACTCTGCTCCACACTGCCAAATAGCAGCGTTTTAGCTGCCCGGCGGTCTGCTCATTGTTTTGGGCGTTGCTCCTCTGCCTTTCGTTGTTGCTCCACAGAGGCCAATCTTGACATTGCTGGTACAAGCCATCTACAAGTCCAATCAGCTCCACATAATTCCGTCACCTATCAGTCAATCTCTTCTCTCGGCCGTGCTGCACCTGATATCCCCCTCTCTCTGGGTTAGCAGAAGCTGCTTGGGCATGCGGTGGCTGGGTATTCGGGCTCCATGTCCCAACCAACGCAGCCTCGCTTGCCGAAGGAGCTCACTGATGGGAATGTGTCCAGATATTTAAAGGATCTGTGAGCTCTTCACACTCCAGTCTGGCTAAACCCAGGAATGATCTAGGCAGGCCAGCCTGAATGGTTCAAACCGGCGCAGTTGTTCCTCTAGAGGACTCCACGTTTCGCAAGGATTGAAACGGGAGCGTCTAACTGACCGAGAAGACCCAGAGCTTCGTATGGAGTGATAGACCAGGTAGCTTGCACACTGCATTATGCAGCTGATGAAAAGACAATGCCACTTGGTTGATTTCGAGTGAGACCTCGGCTGCCAAACCGGAGTCAGTAATAAGCACACTGCCGAGGTACGAAAAGGTATCCACTCTCTCCACAACTATCCCGTCACTCATGGGGAGAGGAAGGAAGGGAGATGGTGAGGACCCATTTCTTCGTTGCACACTCTCGGTTCAGCAGTAGCATCTCCAACTCCTTCACAGAGTGGACAGCAATTGCCAGATCATCCGCATACATAATGGCCGGCATAGGCTAACCACTGCACTAACTGTGAGTGTAAGGCAGGACAACAAGAGGCTCATACGAAACATCAAGACGCTCCCAGTAATTTTACAATTGGACCATGTCGCTGGTGAACTTTGACAAATGTTGGCGCTCGGAGAACCCAAAGGTCTCTTGGTCTCACGGCAAAGTTGCTGAGTTGGCAATGCTGTTAATGGCAGGGTTATGGTCCCCGTGGGACAGGTCCCACTCAAGTTCCTCTCGGAGGCAGCAGTAGGCCACGATCGCTCATGCTATGCTGGTGATGCTTAACGAGGATTATACCGGTGTATAGGTGTCTCCTTGACGAATGCCGCAACCGTCCAAAAATTACGTGGCGACAACTGTGACTGTTTTGAGTTGGCGGCTCGAGCGGTGGCACGTGGCGGTGATGCCGCGTGGCGTGCCGGGCAGCATGGGAAGACTGCAGTCGTTGTCACCCCGCTGGGTCACCCCGGAGAGCCTCCCTCGGTCACAAAGCTCGCTTATAAGAGGGTCCTGCCACCTCTTCAGAGTAGGGGATGATGCTGCTGCTCCTGCTGTTACGGCTGCTGTGTGATTCCAAGTGAATTATTTGCAGGTAATGTTTCAGCACTGGGTTGTTTGATTCAATATCGGTTACAATGTGTCGTTAATTTAGCTATGGGAGGAAACCGGGACACCCGGAGGAAACCCTTGCAGAACAGAGGGAGAGAATACAAACTCCGCACAGAGTGGCGTCTACGTGAGAAACTGAATCCAGGTGCTTGCTGCTGCTGTGTGGCGTGGACTGTTACCACTGCGCCACAACCCTGCCACACAAATTACGACTTATGGTCACACTCGTGACTTGTGCTGCCTAGAAATCACCTTTTACATTTGGTGTTTTAACTAACAGCTGCCGGGTCTTCTGTCCAATTTCCGTAATCTGTCATGATTGTTTCCACCGCAGCGTTTTTGTTCACGTACCATAGCGGAGTTCATGACCACCTGAGCCGGATAAACTTTGGCAGCATTGATTTTTTTCTCACAGTATTTCCAATAAAAGTGAATTGAGAGGTTTTCTGGAAGAAAAACAAAACAACCCACATGTATGTATTGTTACATAACTAGAGCTGGGAGGATTAGTCATTTTAGTCAACTAATAGATTAAAGATTCGAATTGACTACTTTTTCAGCGGTGGATTACTCGGGCCCCCACAAGCTACAGCCTCCCGAAGTGGGGAAACCCCCTTTCGAGGCACGCCCAGTGTGAGACGGCCAATTTACGCCGATGACATCAACAAGCCCCGCTCGTCACCACCACCAAGCCCTGTCCATCGCCCAGTGGCACACGTGACAATGGAGGTCAGAATCTTGTTTGCAAGTAATCGATTAGTTGAACGATCGAAGAGCCCAGCTTTAGTCACGGCCCACACTGGCTTTCATTGAAACCCTTGACGACGCACGCGTGATCGTTGTGAGTGTATTGTGCACCCACGGATGGCCACACAGCAAACTTAACCATTCACACATTCCATTCACTCAGTCCTCCTACTCTCAACAAGACCCTCATTCCTCCAAGAAGTTGTGGGTTATCAAGTTTATCCCTTCAAGACACCCTTAAATCAACACAACGGTTTACGACAACTAAAACCGATACTCAACTTCGAGCACCTTGTGGATTATCTTTCAAACGCATCCCCATCATTTTCCACTCCCCAACTCTCCTATTGTGGCGTTGTTTTTGTCCCCCACCCCACCCCCGACCTCCCCGATCATCTGCGGGCGCCGACGCTCAGTTCTGGCGGCTACGCTGGAGATTGAGCCCAGCGGTGGGGATTTCGTCCTTGTAGACACTGTAGTTCTTCATCACCGTGTCGATCCAGGGCAAATAGCGTGAGACGCGGGCGTAGATCCCGAACTTGCCCTTGCGATTGCAGCCCTCGCCCCAGCTGATGATGCCGGTAGAGAACCACGTGTTGGCGTAGGGCGTGACATGGGGGCCACCGCTGTCACCCTGGCATGCGTCCGTCTTCGAGTCGCTGTAGCCGGCGCAAAACATGTTCTTGGTGATGGTGTAGCTGCTCGATTCCTTGCACCGTGCCATGTCCTGGTACGGCACAAAGGACGTCTGCAGCACTTTGGCCTGTGCATGGGGACGGGCGGGGATGCGCAACCAAATATTAATCGGCGAAATAGAGAATCGCATTGCAGAAGATTGAAAAAAATAGTGGACAAACACAAGTCAATATTAAATAAAATGCATTTCTTGATAGCTGAATCGGCCAAATATTGACATGCATTCAGGGCCTTTTAGTATATAGACGAGGACATGTGTCAAATGGGTGGGTGGAAGGTGGAGGTGGGTGGGAAGAGGTCACGCTACCTTTTCCCCGTGGTGGTGCAGGTAACCCCAGCCGCTGATGCAAGCCAGCTCCTCCTTGAGCACATTGTCCGCAAAGTCCGGCTCGGGCAGGCAGGCGGGCAGCACGTACTTGTTGAACTTGATGGGCTCGCTCATCTGCAGCAGCGCGATGTCGTTGTCGTAGGTGGCGTTGTTAAAGCGGTTGTGCATCACGATCTGCTTGATGGATATCTTCTGCTCCGTGGGCTCGGACACCGTGCGGTTGTGTTCACTTAGGGACGGGGAGGGAGAGGGGTGGCATGTACAGTAAGCAGCCAATTGGACGATGTGGTGCTGCGGTTCCAGACCTCTTGCATGGCGGTCCCTGGTCAAGACCGCTGCCAACATTACAGCCCAACGTCGGCAACTCCCCAAGCCGTCGCCGTGCCCAAGCAATCCTACGGTGCGACCACGCCGCCGGATTTCATCGCTCCACCTCCATGCGCGGACGCCCTCGCCCGACGCGCCCCATTCGTCCTCGTTGACGGCTTCCACTCCTTCGTAATTACTGACCGTCCGCCATCACCCCCTTGTCGTGATTGGCCCTGGCCCACTGACATTCCTTAGAAGTTGCGAGTGAAGCCACTGAACCTGCCCTTGGTTTGGACGAGACGCGATGCAGGGCGACTCACCGACGATGACGATGTCAGGCTCAGACGGGATGCAGTGGGCGGCCGTCAGAACCCACTCCCGGCTGAGGATGGTTCCGCTACAAAAGCCTTCACCCTTCTTGTCCAACAGCAGAACCTGGGCACAGAGGCGACGGCGAGACGATGAGGGAGCCTCGACCCCATGGGCTGTGCCAGAATGCTTGGCAAGGTCACGTGATGCAGGGCCCTTTTGTTCCCTAGTTTGTAAATGGAGCTTTCTTGAATTTTATCCAGCAGATCGGTGGTGAGTTAAAATTTTAGTTGGGAGTTGATTCAACTCCATCATCCCTCTAGGGTTGATAAAAGGAGTACCACTTTGTGGGGAAGTCGATAGTGATTGATCTATGGACAGATTAATATCTTCTTGGTTCTTTCGGGTGAAGTCACGTAGAAGGGAAGTAATAAAATAATAAAATAAAACATAATAAAATAAAATTCTCACGTTTCGGCCACAACACAAGTAGCCGTTCTCTGTATACCACACTGCTGTATATTAACTATACAATTACGATACTTTATATTACCAAATAAATTATATTAAACATTACACTGAAAGGTACTAAGAGATTAGCAGGATGTTAAGGTGAGAAATTCGCATGTAACTGGGAGATTAGCATGATGTTAATGTGAGGAATTAACATGTAACTGGTCACAGAAATGGCTATGTTAAGTCAGAGTTTACATATCAACAGAGGCATTTATTATATTAACGCTAAAGAACTGCAACTACCCAACTATCATACAATAAACCGATGTGAAATAACTAAATATAAACTACATCAATATAATCAATGTATTCAATATATTATCCAATAACTTGATCTATTAACATTAAGTAACTGGGTATACACTACACTATATAATTACTACCATATAGTGAATCGATACATTATTCTTGCACGGGTTGGAGCTGCACTGGTCTCCGTCTGGGGCACGCGAGACGCGGCACCACCACCACCACCACGCGCACGGTCACCGGCGGGGTTTGCGTTCACGTCCCAGCGCTTTGCGCGAACTGTGCCGTGCGGTTCGTCACTCACCCGAGTACTTGTTCCAGAATTCATTCTGGAAAAAAGCACAGAGCGAAGTGTTGTTTATGGGGGTTATGGATATTTTGATGAAAATAACAAAAATTAAATGAAATTTGAAATTTGCATAATTATCCGAAATTATGTTACATATACAATAGAAGGGCGTCATTTGGTGTGGGGGGTGGGGGAGGCGCGCGGTGTGGTCGAGCCGGCTCAGGGTGCGGGTTGCAGGGCCTGCTGCCCATGGCACCTGTGTGTGTGTGTGTGCTTGAAGGTCACGCGTCCAAGCACTTTCCAGGCTCGGACTCTGATTGTCTCCCCCGAGGGACGATCACCGCGAGCATCCTGAGAGGTCTGGGCACGCGAGTGTGAGCACAGTCCGGGCTCGCGCCGTTCTCATCGCGAGGGTTCTGCTGTGCTTCACAGACGGCTGCAGAGTTCGCGGTGGGTCCACAACATGGGACAATGCCGCTCTCTGATTTGACCCAACTGAGTAATTTTCGTGATATATTTTACGTTTGGCCCACGACTCCGGCACAACGGCCTTGGGAATAACGTCGCGGGATCGATTTCATCCGCGGCACTGACCAGGGCGGATCGCTGGGGTCGAACCGCCGGGAATCTCCGCACTCAAAACGACGACCCGCGGGCAGCGCGAGGCCCGGGGGCCGCTGCGGCGAGGGGCCGCAGCTCGGAGGCCACCGCCGCCCCTGGGGCGTCTCGGGTGGTGGCGACGGCGCGAGTTGGGCCGCGAGCGGACGGCGGCCGTCTCACCGTGGCGTCGATGTTCTCGAACACCTCGCGCGCCTCCTCGAAGCTGCAGCGCTCCTCCATGCACTCGCGCTCCAGGTTCCCCTTGCGCAGCTCCTCCCAGCCGCTGTTGGCGCGCCGCGCCCGCGCCAGGACGATTGCCGCTTGGCGCCGCTGTAGGAACACCGTGGCTGCGTGCGTGCGTGTGTGTACGTGTGTGTGTACGTGTGTGTGTGCATACGTGTGTGTGTGTGTACGTGTGTGTACGTGCGTGTGTGTGCATACGTGTGTGTGTGTGTACGTGTGTGTGTGTACGTGTGTGTGTGTACTTGTGTGTGTACGTGTGTGTGTGCATACGTGTGTGTGTGTGTACGTGCGTGTGTGTGCATACGTGTGTGTGCATACGTGTGTGTGTGTACGTGTGTGTGTGCATACGTGCGTGTGTGTGTGCATACGTGTGTGTGTACGTGTGTGTGTATACGTGTGTGTGTACGTGTGTGTATACGTGTGTATACGTGCGTGTGTGTATACGTGTGTGTGTGTGCATACGTGTGTGTGTGTGCGTACGTGCGTGTGTGCGTACGTGCGTGTGTGTGTATACGTGCGTGTGTGTGTACATGCGTGTGTGTGTGTACATGCGTGTGTGTGCGTACGTGCGTGTGTGCGTACGTGCGTGTGTGTGTGTATACGTGCGTGTGTGTGTACATGCGTGCGTGTGTGTATACGCGCGTGTGTGTGTATACGTGTGTGTGTGTGTACGCGTGTGTGTGTGTATACGTGCGTGTGTGTATACGTGCGTGTGCGTGTGTGCATACGTGCGTGTGTGCGAACGTGCGTGTGTGTGTGTATAGGTGTGTGTGTGCGTACGTGCGTGTGTGTGTGTGCATACGTGCGTGTGTGTGCATACGTGCGTGTGTGTGCATACGTGTGTGTATGGGGAGCGGTAGTGTAGCGGTTAGCGCGCTGCGCTACGAATCCGGCGACCGAGTTCGATTCCCAGTCACGGCTAACACCAGTGACGGTTGTCTCAACCCGTCCTGGGCCTCCCCTAGGTCGACTCGGTCTTAAGTGAGTACCTGGTGCGGTGTGGAAACATCAGCACTGGGGAGACAAAGGCGATCGGGGGTGTTGCTGGCCACCCACCCCCTCGTGTGCCGTGCTGGGCTTCATAACTGCCAACATCCGTGAGTTGATCTGACAATCGGGAGCACAAAATCTGAGTGTGTATTTGAGGATGTACGTGCAGCCCTGAAAGTGCCTACTCACACCACTACTGGCCAGCGGCCGCCACCGGAGGGAGGTCTACTCGACCACACTATCCAGATGGATCCCAAGATTTGGGCTTACCCACACTTTACCCTACCACACGCGACCTGTCGATCGACTGTGGGTGCCAAATTTGTACCGCTGGGTGGACAGGCGGTGGCGGAGGGATTTGAGAAACTCGCCCCCAATTGTTTCAACTGCCGCGCAGGGAGATGGAAGCGAACCGGTCACCCTCTGCGTTGTGAGTCCATCGCGCTGCCGACCGTCGACTCACGCACAGAGCCGTGCGTGAAGCGACGCTCGCGAGATTGGCACGCGGTCCCAGCTGTGTTGTCATGTGCGGTGCACACCAAACACAATGTGTCTTCACTTTTCTCAAGGCCAACAAATATTTACCAAACCCAAACACGGGCTACGGTTATATCTGATCCGCGCGCAGGTCAGCGACAGAGAGAGAGAGAGCGAGAGAGAGAGAGCCCCCCAGTGGCACCACGGCTGGGACACGGGACGCGTTATCAGGGCAAACACGCACCACGTGTGTGTGTCCACGACACTGCCCTCCTCGCTCTCTGTTTGACTTGGGACTTAGTCTCAACACCAAAAACATTCTATACCTAGTTCGCATACAACGTTTCTGACAAACAGCTACGATGCAAACGTTGAAAAATCAATTTTGGTTGCCATCATCATCATCAATCGTCGAATTTATTTCTGGCTCGACTGAGCGTCGAGGTGGTGACCCTCTCCTGTCCACAGCCCCGAGCCAGCGGTGGAAGTTCCACATTCACATAGCGGGGATGAGCCTATGTTTACATGATAGCCGCTGTTGACTTTCCCACAAAGTGGTCTATACTTTATCGACCCCGAAGGGATCATGGGTCCAATCAACTCCCTAAACAGGATTTGAACTCGCAACATGCAGATTTTTGACTCAACCCACAAACATGTGTAAAAAGCACTCCGCCTTTGTACATTCTGCTACAACAATCAGCAGTTCCTGAAGAACAGCATTGTGAATTATAGATTTGAAGCTTTCGTGACTGCAAGAATTCATACTTTTTGGTTTTATTCGGTAAAGTCACGTAGGCAAAAAACTAATTAAAAATGAAAATAAAAGAAACAATTAAAACACGACGTTTCGGCCACAACACAAGTGGCCTTCTTCAGGTGAAGGCACAGAACTGTCGGGACGACAGCACTTTGAAGTGTGTTTGTGCAACGTATAAGGTTTGGGTGAGGGGATGGAGCAGTGGTGAGCACATCAGCTGTTGGTTGATCACATTTTCTCAGATTTATTCTCGTGGCGATCTAAACAAGCGGACCACAGTTCTGTCGTCCCGACAGTTCTGTGCCTTCACCTGAAGAAGGCCACTTGTGTTGTGGCCGAAACGTCGTGTTTTAATTGTTCTTTTATTTTTATTTTTAATTTGTTTTTTTACCTACGTGACTTTAGCGAATAAAACCAACTGGATTGTGGTCCGCTTGTTTAGCTCGCCACGAGAATAAATCTTAGAAAATGTGATCAACCAACAGCTGATGTGCTCACCACTGCTCCATCCCCTCACCCAAACCTTATGCGGACAATGTGGATCGTGCATAGTTTGAATACCACTCCGTCTCCAGACGTTGCACAAACACATGGTGTCGTGCGCATCACCTAGACACCGATACATTTAGAGGAGAGAGAGCCATTGGATTGTATTTGCATTGAGAGACAGAAAGATGAACGTATGAGAATATACGCAGGCGAATGGCATCATCTAAACTGTTAAGAGAAGCGAGTGAGGCTTGGGCAGGGCGCGTCGCGGCTCGAAGGGACAATGGGGGATGGTCAATAATATTGCGTCAAGGATGATTATAATGGAGTGGCGGCCAGGGAGCGGAATGCGTCTGAGAGGACGTCCACCGAGGAGACGGAGCGATGAGATGAGCTTCTCGCGTGCAGGAGCTGGATTCATCGATGCATAGCGGGATCGTGAGAGGTGGCGGCTCTGGGAGGCATTCGTCCAGCAGCGGATTGATCCTGGCTGCTGGCGAAGGTGATTGTGGGTCACGCGACGTGCACGCTCACTCACCATGGCACGCGCTGGAGAGGAGCAGCACCAACCACAGGAGGCGGACGTATCGGCCGCAGGAGGAAGCCATGGGTGTCATCGCACTCCTCGCGTCTCCACACTTCTGCTCTCCTCCTCCTAGCTGATCCAGATTCGGGTGGCCTCCTCCCTCTCTCTCCTTCCCTCTCCCTGACCCGGGGGCCTCGCGATGCCAAATGCGGCTCGCCCCCTTTTCATCCGCTACCTCGACGCTAGGCAGATTACGCGAGAACAGGGGGAGGGGGGCAGATTTCGGGGGAGAGGACGCACGGATGAGCAGTCTCACTCGGGGCTCTGGTATTATTTTTCCACTGCACAAGCGAGACGCGCCGAGCCAGGCCGGCGCGGCTTTTGAGGCACTGGGTTGTTTTTTCACTGCAGTTCCGAGCCGTGCTGCTGATGTCACACGTGGTGAACGAGTGGAGACGCGTGTAGATAACGCAGTGACGTTATGTACTTCCGGCGTACGGACTGACGTCACAGGCAATCAACGGGTTATTATCCCCATCCCTGGCCCTGCTGGGCCCCGAACCACATTCAGATGCCTTGGTGAGGCCGGCGTACCATGGTCTGGCTTGGCATGTCAAACATCCAGTGGTAAACTACCCGTACCAGGAAGGTCTCGCGCGAGCGCAGCTCGGATGTACCAGTGGATAAGTGTGTCAACATAATCCCCATGACCCACGGTGTGGGGAGGCCCTCATTCAGCAGTGGAGTGGCTAAAGGGCTGCCCGCGTGCACATGCATTAATTTACTACGCTTTCTATTGCTTGTTGTTGCTCCAGAGAGGCCGATCTCGACATCGCTGGTACCAGTCATCTACAAGTCCAATCAGCTCCACATAATTCCGTCACCTATCAGTCAATCTCTTCTCTCGGCCGTGCTGCACCTTTTATCCCCCTCTCTCTGGGTTAGCAGAAGCTGCTTGGGCATGCGGTGGCTGGGTATGCGGGCTACATGTCCCAACCAACGCAGCCTCGCTTGCCGAAGGAGCTCACTGATGGGAATGTGTCCAGATATTTAAAGGATCTGTGAGCTCCTCACACTCCAGTCTGGTTAAACCCAGGAATGATCTAGGCAGGCCTGCCTGAATGGTTCAAACCGGCGCAGATGTTCCTTTAGAGCAGGGGTGGGGAACGTCCTGCCCGCGGGCCGTATAAGGCCCGCGAAATCATTTGGTCTGGCCCTGCAAAGGCAACCGCAGGCGAGACTCGAAATGCAATAAATCTATGAGCAAACCTGGAAAAGCAGCTAACATCACACGCCTCACCAAAGAGAAGAAGTTCCAGCCATCACATTAGGGGTGAGTTAATTACATGTTTGACCAAATAGAACAGGCTAATTTTTAAGTTGATATTTTTTTTCATGGCCCGCGAATGATGTTATAAATATCCAAATGGTCCTTGGCATAAAAAAGGTTCCCTATCCCTGCTTTAGAGGACTCCACGTTTCGCAAGCATAGAAACGGGAGCGTATAACTGGCCGAGAAGACCAAGAGCTTCGTATGGAGTGATAGACCAGGTAGCTTGCACACTGCGTTATACAGCTGATGAAAAGACAATGCCACTTGGTTGATTTGGAGTGAGACCTCGGCTGCCAAACCGGAGTCGGTCATAAGCACACTGCCGAGGTACTAAAATGTATCCACTCTCTCCACAACTGTCCCGTCACTCATGGGGAGAGGAAGGATGGGAGATGGTGAGGACCCATCTCTTCGTCGCACGCTCTCGGTTCAGCAGTAGCATCTCCAACTCCTTCACAGAGTGGACAGCAATTGCCAGATCATCCGCATACATAATGGTCGGCATAGGCTAACCACTGCACTGGCTGTGAGTGTAGGGCAGGACAACAAGAGGCTCATACGAAACATCAAGACGCTCCCAGTAATTTTACAATTGGACCATGTCGCTGGTGACCTTTGACAAATGTTGGCGCTCGGAGAACCCAAAGGTCTCTTGGTCTCACGGCAAAGTTGCTGAGTTGGCAATGCTGTTAATGGCAGGGTTATGGTCCCCGTGGGACAGGTCCCACTCAATTCCTCTCGGATGGGGAGGGTGGGGAGCTGCTGTGAGGGGGTCCACCGTGACAGTGATTCGCCGCTATGTGGTGGCCCTAGGGAACTTCCCGTGGTGCGGGCCCACCAAGGGCCCACCCAGCACCCCCGAGCGCCGTCCCTGGACAGGTGCCGAGGAGCGACGTGCCATACTTCGTGTAGACCACCAGAGGACGGTGTCGTCTCACCAGTAGTGATTTCATTGACTCTCCCATTTGCTCCGTGGACTCTGAATGTCAGCTCGATTCACACCGGTGGCCACTAGCGGAAACGTGGGATGCGTCTGCTCCGTCCTGGACCCTGTACGCATCACGGATGCAGAGGCGGTGGTTACGAGCGAATCTGTGTAGGATTGTTGTGCTGTCCCAGTGGATTAAGAATGAATGTGAATCAGACAGCTCTTTTTCAGTTCATGCAGTGTGTGAATAAGGGCCTACCCGTTCGTGTCGCTCTCCAGGCTCAAGCCTACTTAGCTGTCACAAGAGGAATATCGCACATCTATCCGTGTGGAGCTCTCACTGAGCAGTGTTACATCCCCTTGTATCAGAGTCCCAGTAGATGAAGTCTCTTCTATTGGGCGTTTGTCCACACTTGGTGGGAGACTGAGATGTGCCCTGCAGAGAGCGTTGCCTGCAATGGTTATTTCTCTGAAAGTTGACAAGCCGAATTAAGTAGAAATACCACATTTACTGTGCACTGATTGGTGACCGACCATCGACTCACCACGCCTTGAGAACCCGGTTTAATCGCAGGCAGTGGCTAAAGCCTGGATGTGAACCCAGGGCATTCATCGCACGCACACAGTTTATCGTAATACTGCACAGGTTTCCACGCGTATACGTACAACCGTCTAAACGTTATGGCATTGTAAATATGGAGTTTATATAAAACATCACTATCCCCGGCCACTTCTTTATGACCCTTGAGCTACACCCATTTCAAACCTTTTAAAACAGTCTGCCTCAGCAGCAGACCATGCTTTCCCACCTGATGGACGCTTGTGTTGCGCCCGAAACGTCGTGATTATATTATACCTACTACATGACTTTACCGAAAGAACCAAAGAGTATGGATTCCTGCAGTCACGAAAGGTTCAAATCAAGATTTGAACAGCTTAGGTTAACACTTGTCAATGGGAGCAGTACTAGTGCCTCTGTCTAATAGAGGAACAATGACTCTCACCTCGCGATTCCAGAAATTCTCGCGATGCAGAGTCGTGATTCTGTTGAAGGATATTTATAATTGTTTGACTCCGGGGTACATGTTTGTATCTGGAGTGGCTGGGGGGCGGGGGGGGTCACGTGAGACCAACAACAACAGGAATAACAACAACTGCATCCGAATAGGAAACATTGAAGCTTCCACAAGTGGTTCCATGCTTGGCGGAAATCTCGTGGAAGTTGATTCGTGAGTGACACGATTTGGTATTTAACCGACTGGTCGTGCATCTACGCCCGAACGGCTCCCCGAGTAAAAAAATATATATAATTCGGAAGAAAAAAATTCGGAACAAAACCTCCCCAAAACGTAACCTCTCATCGGAACGGGACGCGGTCGTTTCTCTCTTCGCGATGTTTCTTTGCGAAAACTTTACTTTGGGTGAAATTCATTAATGGGATGTATTCTTCTTTATATATCCCTCCCATCCACCGCAACATAATTTCGCTAATTCGAAATTACAAAACTAAACCTCATGTTGCGGCAGTAATAAGGAATCATTAAGTCCAATTAAGATCCACCTGCAGCCACAACACATCGGGCCCGCACCTCAAACACGAAGAACTCCGCGCGCGCGCGCTCCGTAACGAGAGGCGCGCGGCGGCGGCAGCAGCTTAGGAGGAGGAGGAGGGCGCGGGTAAGGGGTTTGGAGACGAGGCGCGCGGCGAGGAAGGAGCGAGAGTTGTAAACGAGTGATTAAATAGGCAACACCTGTGCATCTGCATTGCTAATTAGAGGCAATTAATCAGCACCACGCTGCCTGGGAACGAGGCGGGGGGCGCCGCGGCTGGGGATGTTTCCGCGGGCTCCATGGTGACGCTAACGCGCTGCTCGCTCAAGAGAATGGGTGGGGGGATGGGGGCAGCGGAGAGGGCAGTGGCGAAGGGGCAGCGGAGGGGGGCAGTGGGAGCGAGCGAGCGAGCGGTGGGGGAACGGGGCCATCGTCTCGCGGTAGCCGCGTGGAGCAGCGGTTATGCGCTCGCTTTGTCTCTGCGCGTGTGTCTGTGTGTGTCTGTGCGTGTCTGTGTGAGTGTCCGTATCTGTCTGTCTGTGTGTCTATCCGTCTGTGTGTGTGTCTGTGAGTGAGTGTGGCTGTGCCTGTCAGTGTGTGTGTGTGTATTTCTGTGAGTTTCTGTGTGTGTTTACTTATGTGTGCATGTGTTAGTATCCATCGTTTTATCTGTCGGACTGTCGTTTGTATGCCAGCCTCTCCGTTTGCCATTGTCCATCTACTCTCTGTCTGTTGGTAGCAATGAGTCTCTGCCCTCTATGTAATCAGGTGCGGAGCCTGCGGAGATGCAATGCCCATTTACAACCAAACTCCCTTCATCACTCACCTTGCCACACAACCAGTACGTGTAATCTGTCGACGTTTCAGGCAATTGCCCAACTTAAGTGGGACGGTCGGATTGTATCTGGCTATCGCACCCTACGCCAGGGCGCCGATAAAACTGGAAAACGTTCAACGAACTTTTGTGAAGCGTTTCGGATCGTACCGAAACACGTCGTTCGGCACGATGTCCGACGTTTCGCTGCACGTGCCGGGAGCTTGTTCAGGAACTGAATTGAGCAGCTCCCGTTCTCCATCCGTCCGATTGCTGAAGAAGCTCCCGACACGTGGAGCGAAACGTCGCACATCGTGCCGAACGTTGCACGACCCTACGATGCGCCGGAGAGCTACGGCCACGACACTCGGCGCGGTGGCCCTGCGGAACGGAGTGGACAGAGGCGCAGTGGCCCTGCGGAACGGAGTGGACAGAGGCGCAGTGGCCCTGCGGAACGGAGTGGACAAAGGAGTCTGTTGACTCGCAGCTGATCTCGAGCAGAGTCAAAGTCTAAGCCAGTGCAAGTGACTAGATCAGCTGATTAGGCGCACAGTGGAGTTCTGGCAGCGGTGACGCAGTGACTGGTACACTGCTCTGCGAACCCAGCAACCCGAGTTGGATACCCGGCTACGGCTAACATCAGTGGCACAGGATAATGCAATTGAGTCAGGCGGTGGTTTGTTGGTGATGATTTTGGTGGCGGTGGTGCTGGTGGCGGCTTTGGCCACGATGACTTCCCGATCTTTGATCTTGAAAAGTGTGAAGCGTATTTTTGGGAAAGCTCCCCGTACGTCACATGCCGATCAAATCGCCGTGTTCCGAGACGGGGCGGGCGGTGTCGCGGGCGCGTTCAAGCGCCGACAATTAAACCGGCGTCACCGCCCCTTGTTAAGTGACACCGAAAATATGCGAGACTTGGGAATTCAAATGTCACGTAGATATAGTAAACAAAAATGGCTCCGTAATAATGACCTATATTAAATATTAAATTGCTGCACTGCCAATCATTATCGCCGTTTCCACGCTGCCAATCACGAGGCAAATTCGCGCAGGTCCACGCTTGCACAATGCTACTTGGTCCCGGAGACCTTATCAATTATAGACAAGAGGGAATTTTACTGGCAATTAATTTACATTTCGCCGGGCCGGGCTGAGTTCGTGGCTACCGTCCTTCGTCTGCACGGCGATCTCCGTGGGGAATTCTACCGCGAAGCGTCGCCATTGCCGCGCGGGACGGGCTCAGAGAGTCCTGGGGAGGGGGGGGGGGGCTCCAGGGGGGTTCCTCCGCCTGTACCCCGCGCCCTTCAGCACGTCTGACGTTTCGCTCCACGTGCAGGGAGCTTCTTCAGGAAACGCATAGAACTCCGAGTAGACTGCTTTGGGTGTGGTGTCACATCCCAAAACAGCAATTCTGGTATTTGTGATGTGACACCAACACGTCACAATCAGACAGGCGGGCGGCGGTGGTGGAGGAGCGGGTTGATGGTTCACGCCCTGACTGCTGCTTCACTCTGAGCTCTATAGGGTACAGCAGTCAGGTAGGAGCTGGGTGCTCTACCCTAGCGAAGACAGCAGCGGTAGGATGCCAACTTTAGTTCAATAAGACGGTGGACAGGTGTTCAATCGGATTGAAGCTTTAACGTCTCTTGTAATGCAGCGCGTGCCTGTATGGCTCTGTCGTCGATCCACTGCTGGATGACGCCCTCCCCCACACCGTTGGGGTTGTGGGGTCATTGGACTGCGTTGGGTTGCCAGGGTGGGCGAAGGCGGTAAACAGAGGTGTGGGGACATGCAAGTGGCGTGCAATGATGGATCTTGCTGCGTGTCCATCTGCTGCCTGCTACTGGCAGGCAATGTACACAGGCACACCGGTAAGCGTGCTCATATTTGTCAGCGTTCACTGTGCGCGAATGCACGAGCAATGTGACTCTCATCAATAATGAACATTAGAGAACGCTACTTGTTTCCACAAATAACATGACCACTTCTATCGCCTACTCTCTTTTGCTTAATGAGCACGATCAGAAAAATATCACAAAGATATGGGAATGGGGAGGTTCGCAGATGAGTAAATGTTGATTTGAAACTTAATTTCCCGTTGTGATTAAATGCTGCAGAGAGCGTGTGTAAATCTTCGTGGACGTGCGTGTGCGCGAGCAGAATGATGTCACCATTGAATTAATTTTAGTTCTGTCAAGTAGAGCTGCGTTTTTAGCCAATGTTCCAAAAACAATAGCCACCATTCATCACTCAGTGGCGGTGACATCACAGTGGCCCTTGTGCCAGGCTTGGTTCACTTTGTCCTTTCTGAAGTGTCCAATGCGAGTTGGCAGGAGGTTACAGGACATACCCATGTGTCCCACACCCGTTTAGCCCCCTCCATCCAGTCAAACAGACGCTGCTTGGGCATGGGGTGGCTCGGCATGGGGTGCCTGGGCATGAGGTGACTGGGCATGGGGTGGCTCGGCATGGGGTGCCTGGGCATGAGGTGACTGGGCATGAGGTGACTGGGCATGGCGTGGGTGAGCATGGGGTGGGTGGGCATGGGGTGGGTGGGCATGGGGAGAGTAGACGTATGGTGAGTGGGCATGCGGTGAGTGGGTATGTAGTAGAGAGGCATGTTTACTCGTGCATCTAATTTAGTTGAAAAGCACAATTGTTTGGGATTATCTCATTGCTCAGTGCAATCACGAGTAAAACCCAAATTACGCGGTGATAATAGTAAGAATAAAATCAATCAACTCAATGCAAATGCACGACAGTGCAGAACAAATGAAAAACAACGCAACATCATTGCGTTCACTCCACTCGGACAAACAGTGAACAAACCGTCAAGGTCATCACGATCAATGTCATTGGTGTCACCAAATCTCACCGTCACTCCTACTGCCAAACCCTCCATCCGCTGGAGAGTTGACACTCAGCACTCAGAGTTCACTGGCAGGGTCTTCCCCATGTTTGCTGACCCTCCGACTGCCACTCCGATGTCCGTCTCGGTGACCCGCCCTGCTCCGTCCCGCCACTCGGCGGCGCGAGTTGTGGACCCCAACCCAGCGCTGCCGCTCCGACTGAGCGTTACGTTCGTGGTCGGTCTCCGTGGCCAGGAAAGTCGAATAAACACGAGATTTAAAATCCGAGCCACTTACTCTGAGTGAGAGTGAGTGTGAGTGAGTGTTAGTGAGTGAGTGAGTGAGAGTCGGGCAGGGCACGGCGAGCTGGGGCACTCCGAGTGGGCCCAGATGCTCGCGCCGCGGTCCCATTTCGCACGTGGGCCGGGGACGCGGCGCGGCGCGTAATTGGGCAGTCACCGCCGCGCTAATTGCAAATGCGTTGATTGCTCAGTAATTACACTGATTTGCGGATAGTGATTGTGGTATAATCATGTAAAATGAGCACGTGCAAAGTTAAATTAGCGGTGAGTGTGAAGACTTTAGTTTTTTTGCCTTCTCCAATTTTGAGTAATTATGAGTATTTTTGTTGTTGTTGTTGTCACGCCCGTCTGGTGCTGTGGACGAGCTCCCGGCGAAGGGGAATGAAGTAATCTCAACGTGTACCTTAAAGCAGCTTCCAGGCAATAACCCCGCGTCCACATCGCGGAGACGGGGTTAAGATGACGACGCACGAGCGGGGATCTTCAAGCCTCCCACATTTTGAGCAAAACAATAGTGAAGTCACTCCGTTGTTGGTGAATTATTATATTCTGTTTAATTAATTTAAATGTTAAGATGCAGCCCTGCAACTACTCGCTCGCGCCACTGCTGGAATAAGGATATCCACTAGAGGGAGCTCTAGAATGCCCCTCTGAATGTATTTGACCTACTCTTCCACGATGGCCAGACGATCATTGAAGAGTTGGGAGTACTCACACATTACCCCGCCCCTTGTAGATTGCAAGCGCGAGATGCGCTAACCACTACACTGCAACGTAGCTACACCACTGGCACCAACACACAGCAATTCCCTCGGGATTGTAAACGTGACGCCCCTGCTAGTCACACAAATGTTGAGAAGTTTTTGACAAGTTTGCTTCTTATCGCATCTAGGTTTGTTACGGGGTTAACGCTCACACCACGTGTTTGCTTCAGTGCCACCGTGACGCCGAGGAGAGCTCGCGAGTCTACCCGCAGGTTACGGCGAATTTCATGCGTGGCCTCTGCTGGTCCTACGTCCTGGCTCTCTGAACTAAGCTCCGTGGGGAACCTATGGCCCATGATCTCACTTCATTGCACACGGCCCGTGGCCACACGAGGCCTTCCATTTAAAAACAGCGCGCAAACGGTTTTTAGCCATCGCCGTGAGCGTCTTAGCCGCACTAATCGGACACTCGAGGGGGGATATTTTCGACCTGGCATCCACGCCGTGTCTCCGATGTCTGCGCTACACCGGGCCGCTTCCGTCACTGCGAGGGCCTCTCGCGGTGCGGGTGAGGAGCCTGGTGGCGACCGCCCGGGCTCAATGTGGAGCGATGCGAAGGGCGGGGTAGGTGAATCACCACCACTCCATTGTGAACCCTGCGCTGTCGGCACAGTCCCTTGTGCTGCGTGAGGTTTTATGGGGTTGACAAAGTCCTCGTGATGCCATGCACAGTGAGTCAGCCGAGTGCGCGTCTGCCTTCACGCGAGCAATGGGGGTAGGCACTTATCTCCACTTCTGGCCCTGAGCCCAGTGGCGGAAATTCCACGTTCCCATGGCGAGGGCCGGCCTCTCGTAAGATGACCACTGTTCACCCTACGATGGCAGTGTTCATAATTCGCAGGGTCAGGACATTGCGCGGCAGCTTTAATGTCTAAGGACCCTGAGTTAAATGTCTCCCACAGTTACAACACCGCAAACACCGACAACATCGATCCTCTTGTCGCGTGGGATTAGTGAGAGATCGTTCTATCGATTATCTCTGTCTTGCTTAAAACAAAACTGTCTTAAGTATGCCTTTATCTAGCAGTGAATTGATCTTGGATGATGATGTTTAAATAAGTACGCTATTGGATTGTTAGCAAATCACCTGTAATCTCTAGAGACCCCCTCTTGTAAGAGGTGAGGGTACCCACACTTTACCCCACCACACGGAATTTGTCGATAGACTGCTGTGTACCCATCTACACTTGTAGGTGGACAGAGGTGGCGAGTAACGTGGGGATTTAAGAAACCTGGACCATTGCTTCAATTGTCGCGCAGGGAGTTTAATCCAAACCGGTGACCTCCGGGTCGCAGGTCCAGCGAGCTGCGAAACCATGAGGCCACCGTGGCAGCGCGCCCCTGCTGTCAGCGATGCGTCTGTAATGCAACTCGAATCTGTAATTCGCTGAGCTGGACAGCAGGTGGCTGAAGCTGCGTTCTGTTTGGATTCTCGACGCTGCTGCCCAACTCCAAAACGCGACGTTCTCATCGTGACACCGCCGAGCGGCCGGCACAGAGGCGGCGGGGGGATCGGTGCGTTCCACCCGAAATCGGACGAAACGTGGACGTTGGCCAGCTGACGATTGAATGGGTGTCTCGGTGTCTCGCAGGTTCACGGCGCCTTGTTGCGGAGCACTGCGGGTCAAGTAGGTTAGAGGCAACGAGCTCCGGTCTGTGTCTCAACCGGCCGCGTGGCTTCCACATCGACATTAGTCGACAGCGTTCGTCTCAAGTGAGCAAACCCCGGACCTGTTTCGACCTTCTGGGTGTCATCAGCAGAGTCAGTAGGCTCGTTACGGAGGCTCTCACAGAAGCAACACGATCACACTCAAATGACATTCGCCAATACGCATTCGATATTGGGAAGCCACTGGAGCTATGCACTTGTAAATCTTTATTTAGAACTGCCTTTTGTGTTTAGTTTGTTGTCCTTCCTCGCATCTCCGATTCGCACGGTTGGCCACGTACGGTACGAAAGAAGTTCAATAGCATAGAGTAAATAACCCAGCGACATTCCTGGAGGAGCACAGCCCGCTGACTCCGTCTCTGTGACGAGGCGGTGACGCACCTGCTGAGTATTATCTGCGACCCCGTGATTGCTTCCCACTGCCAACACATTCCCGAACTGGTTTTGATTGTTTCAGTTCTAACGGAGAGAAAGAAACTTCCCTACAAACGGAAAGTGAGAGAGCAAAGCGCCGAGCGTTTAATGTGTTGATGAGTCACAGTCGGTCCCAGTGACGCGGGGAAGGAATAGGGAGAGGGCGAACTCCGTGGCCCAGGAATTGAGTCCACGACTCCCTGGGCAGAGTGCCGTAGGAGTCGGCGTCATATCATTGTCTTCTGATATGGGCATGCCACTGCTGGATGAGGGAATCCCCAAGCGGTCACCACTTCTCGCGATTCTGCGATGCAATAGTCTGCACAGCACCTACGCACGAACTGATTCCATCGTTCCATTTCCCTCGGTGTACGTCCTCTGGGCAACGTTCCGTCTCTTGGCCGCCACTCCGCCATTGTTCTTAGCCGGGCGGTGGTGGCTGTGCACGTGGCCTGTAATCCGGCGCTGTGGAGGCAGCAGCGAGGATTGGTGGATCACCGCACAGAAATGTTTTAAACTCCATTCCCGTGGGCGTCGAGGAGGGGTCGTGCCCTGGCTCGCCAGAAGAAGGCGGTAAAGAAAACGTGTGGACTAAATCTGTTACATCTGTACGGAATAGAGTGTTTCCCCCTCGCACGTGTGGGTTTTCTCTTGGTGCTCCGGTTTCCTGCCATTAATAAACACTCATCAATTGGCCGATAACACCTGAATATATATAGAGAGGACCGCAGAGCTTGGATAATTGTTGGTGCCAGCTCACCGCGTTGCTGCTGCCTTCCGCTCCTCGTCTGTGGTTTCTCCTAGCGCCTCGCCAGTCCTCTATGTATATTGCACTTATTTCGCACCGTACGTAGCCAACCGTGCTCTCCACGAGAGCGAGCAGATACCGTGCGACAGCAGCACGTTACAAATCAACTTTATTGTTATTATATTACTATTCTTGACTCTTGGTCACCGTCCCTTCTATATGGATTATTTTTTCGTGAAATTATTCTCAGCGTTAAAAAACATCATCGAGGAGCATGCACTCGGCCCACTTCCCGAAACGTTTTATTTTCAGGACAACTGAGTTGCGTAATCTCTAAGCCCTCATTAATTCTTAAACCCTGGCCTGCCCACCCGTTTGGGCATTGTGTGGAGGCGATTAATTAGGCAGGTCCTGGGAATCACCGCGCTGCGCCATTAAAAATAACTCCTGCGCTTGCGTAACGCCCTCCTGCAGGGGACGGGCTATAGAGAACAGCGCCTCGCTTTGTCACGAACATCGTCAGAGTCAGAGTCATCATCAACGTCATCGCTCATCATTGTGCTACGGACTCAGTGGGTTCAGTAAGATTATCGGCTACGGGCAACACCAGTGGCAGATGATATACCAACAGCTTCCTCACCCCCCTTTAACCAACTCGCAATGACCAGCGCGGTGAAGTATCGTCAAAAATAACTCCCATGACTGACACGGCGAGGGGAGGCCTTCATCTTTCAGCGAATTTGACTGCGAATTACGATGAGAAAAGTAC